TGTTTCTGCAAATGGCATTATTTCATTCCATTTTTATGGCTGAGTAATATTCCATTGTATATATGTACCATATCTTTATCCATTCCTCTGTCGATGGACATTAGGTTGCTTCCATGTCTTGGCTACTGTAAGTAGTGCATGCATCTTTTTGAATTAGAGTTATCTTTTCTGAATATATGCCCTGGAGAGGGATTGCTGGATCATGTGGTACCTCTACTTTTAGGTTTTTTGTTGTGTTTTTTTTTTGTGGTATGCGGGCCTCTCACTGTTGTGGCCTCTCCCGTTGCGGAGCACAGGCTCCGGATGCGCAGGCTTAGCGGCCATGGCTCACGGGCCCAGCCACTCCACGGCATGTGGGATCCTCCCGGACCGGGGCACGAACCCGTGTCCCCTGCATCGGCAGGCGGACTCCCAACCACTGCGCCACCAGGGAAGCCCTGCTTTTAGTTTTTTAAGGAACCTCCTTAAAAAGGTTTTCCACAGTGGCTGTTTCCACAGTGGCTGCAACAGTGTAAGAGGGTTGCCTTTTCTCCACACCCTCTCCACCATTTAGTATTTGTACACATTTATTATTTGTACATTATTATTTGTAGACCATTCTAACCAGCATGAGGTGATACCTCATTGTAGTTTTGATTTGCATTTCTCTAATAATTAGCAATGTTGAACAAAAAATTGCTTTTTAAAGTATAAGGATCTTACAGTAGAAGTTGCAGCACTTTTCCAGAGACACGTTGGTAGTAACGGGTACTTGGAGGGGTCAGGGGGTAACTAGTTTCCTTCCACTGAGTTCCTCATTATAACTGTCCTTTTGCAATTTTCTCAATTACATTTTAAACAGTTCTGAAGATGCATTGATGTATCTAGTTCTTTTTACATTAAAATTTGTCTTTGTAGAACAAAGTCACAGCTGGGGCTTGTGGAGAGATGATATGCCCGTGGATGTATAATGTGCTAAAATAAAGCCTTTCCTTTGCAGTGTTTTAGCTCTCAAGTGTGAAATAATTACAACAAACCTCATCTGAAGCAAAAGAAAGTGATGAAAGCAGATATTATCATTCAAATATGTGGCATTTCCTTCCATGGGAGTCTTTAAGAGCATACACATCTACAGCAGATGTCTTAGGGAACAAGTCGTTCTGCCTGCTATAGGCATGAGGATGGTGTGGTCTTCTTAAAGCCCCTTTGTAACCCGTAATCCATGAAACAAAGAATGTTATGACCTTCATCCTCTCCAACCCCTTGTTAAAAAGCTGATAATGAATAGAAAAAGTGAAAAATCACAAACTGCTTCACTTCCAATACAGTGTCTCAAGTCATCACTGAATATGATTTCAGGAGAAATAACTTAAGCAATCCTTTGGATCTCTAAGTTAAGTGTACACTTGGGTGATACAGGTAATTTAAACTTTCAGAACAGAGCCAACGGGCAGGAGCCGGAAAGCTTGAGTTTAAATAATACAACACCGCCACCTAGAGGTCAAGCACTAAGGAAATGGACACTGCAGCCAGACCGGGTAAAAAGCTAGACAAGCTACTGCCCACACCAGAAAAGCATCACTGCCTTCACATGAAAGCTGCAATTAGAGGGAGACTCCCTGGTGGCGCAGTGGTTGAGAGTCCGCCTGCCGATGCAGGGGACACGGGTTCGTGCCCCGGTCCGGGAAGATCCCACATGCCGTGGAGTGGCTGGGCCCGTGAGCCATGGCCGCTGAGCCTGGGCAGCCGGAGCCTGGGCTCCACAACGGGAGAGGCCACAACAGTGAGAGGCCCGCGTACCGCAAAAAAAAAAGAAAAAAAAAAGCTGCAATGAGGGACATTTAAATGAGCACGGGTTTTCTTCAACATACAGGATATTGGAGAAACTACAGAGCGGAAAATACGCTTTCCCCGTCACTACCTATAAAGACAGGTGATGAGCAAGTCACCAAGGAAGCAGAGAACAGACCCATCCATGTCAAGGTGCTGGGGAGGGGGAGTGGTTAGAGGGCTTTTGTAGAAGATATGGCATTTAAGCTGACCTTGGTAGGATGAACAGAATTTCTATAAGCCAAGGGAAACAGATTCCAGGCTGAAGGAACAGCTTGAGCTACTAATCTCAATTGTGAAAATGCAAAAAATTTCCTCTTATTTTACCACCAGTCCACTAAAGGTTGTATTAAGACACTTGGGAAATGGAATAAAAATCCTATTTCCAATCCCACTGAAAATATTCCAGTAAAGTGTCCTTTGGTATATTTATTATATGCTGCTTGAATAGGCATTTCTTAAAACAATCATACTTAGGAACGTGGGATATAAACCAAGGTAAACTGATTTCTCTATTGCAGATCTTTTCAGAGAATATTTGACTGTACATAGTAAATCTCCAAGAGACTACAGAAGGCTGTTTCCAAAGTTTAACTATAGAATTCATGTTCTGCAAAACACCCCATGAGTAAATCCTCCCTCCCTACTAGGGAAGCAAGGTCAAGTGGTGATTTAAGGATGCAGGCTCTAGAATCAAACTGCATGGATTCCAATTCTAGCTCCACCACTATTAGGCCTCTCCAGGCCTGTTTCCCCATCTGCAAATAGAATAGAGGACCTACCTCACCAGGTACTGTGAAGATTACATGAGGTAATACACATAGAAACCACCTGAAATAATCTGTAGTAGGTGCTGTCCCTTCATGTCCCTCCTGCGTGCTCTTTACACGTCCAGACTCCCAACTCTGTAAGAGCAGTTCGAGGAAGATGCTATTAACAGAAATACACTCCAGCTATGCCCAGCTGCCACCTATAGTCCCTTGGAAGACTGTGCTCCTTCAGGGTTTCTGGGGGAAAGAAGCGGAGTGTTTAAAGTTACTTTGCTAGCTTAGGTGAAAAACAATAATGATATACACTAATTAACCTCTTCTGGATATAACTGGAAGAGCTTTCAGCATTTGCAAAACAAAACAGGACAGATAGAGAATCTTAACAAAGCCCACGAATCACACACATTAAACTTGTGACAATCATAATTTTATCTTTAAAATTGCTTGTTTCTCTGTGTACACACAGAATTCTAAACGTAGGAGGTAAATTAATACAATTCCAAATACCTTGAGCATTCTGTATTGGGATATCATTACATACGTGTCTGTGTACACACATGCATGTGTGAATGTGTGTATGTATGAATGTGTGTGAACAGGAGAGGTAGTGGTATGTAGAACAGCTCAAACACCCTGCTGCAAAAGATTTAAAAGGTTTTATTTCACCATCTCTCCCAGCTCTCTGAGGTAGCCAGCTGAAGATAAACACCCATTGAGATGCAAAACATTTCAGGCAAACCCTCCTTGATAGTTTTCTGATTTTTCCATTTCCTTTTCCTGAGTTGTCCCCTTTCTTCATTCACTTTATTTCTATTCCACCACTTTTCACCTGTTCTCCTTAATCACTCCCTGAATTTATAATTTTCCACAGTAGTAGGAAAAAATATTTCTTGCGCACCTATATGCCATGGTACACTCATCTTGAGGCATCATCTCCACTGAGCCAACGGGAGCCTGAGGCTGGAGATGAAGGCAGGCAGCACTGGGCTGCAGCACAGGCCCCCACTTCACTACTAACTAGACCTATGACTGGGTTGCCCCCTGGTTTACCCAGAACAGCGTAGTTTACACCCACTGCTCTGGCATAATTATTAATGGCATCCCTTCCACTCTCAACAGTATCCTGATTTGGAGTTTAACATGTTCATCCCGTCTATTATTGTCTATAGACAATGTTCTTTACTCCTCTGGACCTCAGTTCCCATAATTTAAAAAAGGATACAGGATTAGACAGTATTTTAAGCTTTTTTTTTAATCTATTTTTGTGATTTCCAATTGTTTTAAAATTAAAGTAATCCAGTCATGAAATTAAAGATCTTTCAACCTCTACTTCCCTCCTTTCTATATACTGATGTATACTTTACTCCAACCAGTTGAGACCCAACCTAACTATGTAAGCAGAACTTAACATTGAAGGGTCAATAATGAGTTATCTCAGAAACTGAAGAAATGAAAAATGAGCTGGAATCAGTGCAAATTTTGTATAGTGTATTCTATTCATCTCATCCCCTGAACCACTTCCTGGTTTGGATATCATACATCAATTATGCCAGGCCCTGGATACTCCCCACCATGAGTGAGATCTGTTGGTATGAAATACCATTTTTACCTAGACCTCCTACCCTAAACAGAAACGGGCCAGGAGATGGTGTCTGGACACAAGGCATGAAATTCCTGCAACAGGACAGAACTTGAAGTCTTGAAACATAAGGCATTTTAACCATATGAGGCAGCAAAAGAAGAAATGGATGACAGAGCGGGACAAGCCAATGTTCCATCACCCCAACCTTCTATTACCTTAGGCAAATAAAAAACTTATTCTGGAGTAAATACATTTATTGATACCCATTTTATATAGTTCAATGAAATAATCTATAAATATAAAAGCATTTTTTTTTTGGATATCACCATGGTCCATGTAAATACTCAACAGTCAGAATCGTCTGCAGGAAGCACTCCAAGTCACACGGTTAGGTTTACAGACCTGAATATACATATTTCATTAAACAGTGGCACTTATGTACTCAAGTGGTCCAGTGGCTTTGGAATACATGACTACTGGGCATGTGGAGTAAAAATAACGTGTATGTTTAAGTCAATGGAAAAGGGTATCAACCTTTAACAAAAAGAAACAATTATGAATTAATATCCTAGGTGAAGAAAGTACCACAGTTGACACTTGGCGTCAGGATACTGAAGACGAAGTATGTTTAACGACACGTCGTGGTGCCATGTGCTCTCTTCAAGTCCCAGTGGGCAGTCCACCAGCGCCTTAGGGCCATTCAGGATCAACAAAACAGCAATTCTTAAAGGATCTCGATAGCTTAGAATAAAAGGAATGTGGGGGCTGGTATCAGGTTTAAAGAAAAGTGAGCTACGTAATTCAGTGACATAATGCATTTCCCTCCTAAGAGGAGGAGATTGCGGGGAAAACAAAATTTTTTTAATTCCCTTTGTTACAGTGATCAGAATCATTTATCTAACGTGGGAGCAAGAACCCAGATATCTGGTACCCAAAACACAGGTGCAAAAATTTTCTTCTGTTTTAAAGTTTGTCCTTCAACACTTCCGAGGGAACTAATGCAGCGGCCACTGTTGAACCTTGCTCTTGACTTGATGCAGCATAAAATTTTCTCATTTCCTCAGAAACAAATACAGGAATGTCCTTTGCTGCAGTCAGACCATGTGTCTTCTGAGTTAGCAAGCAAATGCATTTAGAAGGTCTGAGGTGTGCAAGGTCCAAAATTGAAATCTGAGAGGCAGTGTTAGAACTTAAGCAAGGCAGGATTTTCAGAGACTACTCAAATGAAAATCTAAGCGAAGCATATAAAAACTCAGTTCTTTCTATTATTTTCAACTGGTAATTGACAGCAACATTCTCTGGTAAGGATGGGTAAGTGATGTTATCTCCAGGTCCAAAATATCCCAACTACTTAAAGTAGGACCCCCAAGAGGAGAAAGACACTTGAGGTCTGTGGTCTATAGAATTCTTTTTTGCCATTTTTTTTTAAAAAGTGAAATAGTAGCTTCGGTTGCACACCACTGGTTGAGGGGTTTTCATCCAAATGAGAAACTCTACCCCTTGTCTCTAGTGCAACAGGCACCAGACTCCCACAAGCGGCAAATTCCATGTCCTGTAGCACATGGCATCTGACCCTGGAGTGAGGAATAAGCTGGCACAGACCCCGACCACCGGCATTCAGGCTAGATGGCATTTCGCGGCGTGCCGTTGTGTGTCAACGCTTTCAGGCTGGGGGCACTGGTCTGGTGACCACAGCTCCTGTGAGAAGTCACACCCACCTCAAAAACCTCATGAATAGCTTTTCGGAAACAATGGAAGTTGTAGTCTATTAAACCTGCAGGAGAGAAAAAGGAGATTAGGCCTCCTGAATGTCAACTGTGAGACTATCTACTATGAAACATTTGGTGATGGAAAAAAGTAATTGATATGTATTTAAAAACATATATCCAATTGAGGAATTCTTCACACTGGAAACATGATGAAGCATATGCCCAAGTGTTAACACTGGTTACCTCTGGGGCCTGGAAGTGAACAGGGTAAATAAAAAAGCAATCAGGAAGACAAATTTGCTAAGAAAATTTACAATGAAATCTAAAGTCAAAGTAAAATGCTTTTTGATTCAGCAAGCTCTTCCTTTCACAAGTCCCTGAGGCAGCCCAAGAAAAGCTGAAGTGAACAGTTGGAACAGTTTTGCAAACTGCTTAGTAGAGCCATGGGGTTGGGAGGTGTCAGAGGGGCCCATCAGGCAGAGTCTCAGGAAGCCTGCTTCCCCTGTATGGGAGGTAAGGCAGCTCCGTCCTCATCTGCTCTATGAACTGGCTTCCAAATAAGATTTCGGTCAAACAAAGGGCTCCCTACAGGTACGTATGGACATATGACCAATTCTGGCCACTGAGATAAATGCAAGTGTGTGAGACTTCTGTGAAGTCTCCTTAAAAGGAAGACTTCCCTATTCCTCCCCATTCCTCCTTAATGTCCAGAATATGGATAAGATTGCTGGAGCTCCAGGAGCCATTCTAGATCACGAGCAGAACTTGAGAATAGAAGCCAGTGCTGAGAAGGGCAGAGCAGAAAGAGAGGACTTACGTCCTCGAGGATACTGGGACGTAAAGACAGCACACGAGAAAGAAATCACAACAATCTGATGTTAAAATGACTACTGTGAAAGAAGTCCAAAGGTGGGAGAGCCAAGTGCAGGGCAAAAGCAGCAATGAAAGCTTCAGGTGTGAGGCAGAGCTCTGAGGATACGGGCAGGATTTAATCAGGCAGGAAGGGAGAGCAGAATCACAAGACAACAGCAGGGAGCTGGCAATGAGGAAACACAGCACACAGGTGGAAAACAGGAAACAAACTGGTCTGGCTGGATATAGGGGCAGAGAATTTTGGGGGAAAGTACTGAGAATGGAGTCTGAACAAGCAGGTTAGAGTCAAATTACGGAGGTCCTTCAGATTCAGGAAAAAAATAAAAGTTTTAATAAGTTCAACTACATTAAAACTGACTTCTATGCAAATGGTAAAATTAAACTGACAATCAAGGAAATGTGAACACTGGCTGGATACTTGATGATATTATGAAATCACTGTTTTTTTGGGTTTTTTTTTACACAACTACTGATGGTAATACTGCTATGCTTTAAAAAGCGCACTACCTCTTACAGACACCTGCTGAAATCTGTATAGACAAAATGATTTGATGTTAGAGATTTGCTTCAAAATAACCCAGTAGGGGGCTTCCCTGGTGGCGCTGTGGTTGGGAGTCCGCCTGCCGATGCAGGGGACACGGGTTCGTGCCCCGGTCTGGGAGGATCCCACAAGCCGTGGAGCGGCTGGGCCCGTGAGCCATGGCCGCTGAGCCTGCACATCCGGAGCCTGTGCTCCGCAACAGGAGAGAGAGGCCACAACAGTGAGAGGCCCGCGTACCGCAAAACAAAAAAAACAAAAACAAAAAAACCCAGTAGGGAAAAAGGTATAGCAAGCAAATAAGAATGGCTATGATTTTGATAACTGTTGAATCTGGGTGATAGATAAAAAGGGGTTCCTCACATTATTTTCTCTACTTTTTTATGTTTGATAGTTTCCACAACAAAAGAGCAAAAGATAATAATTTAGTTGTGAGGAGGATATACAGCAAATAAGACTGACCATGTCTTGATGACTGTGAAAGCAGGGAGATGGGTACATGGAATCGCTGTGCTAGTCTACTTTTGTGTATATTTGAAAATTTCCATAGCCAAAAGTTTTAAAAATTTTTAAAGATTAGAATGGAGAGGGCTTCCCTGGTGGCGCAGTGGTTGAGAGTCCGCCTGCCGATGCAGGGGACACTGGTTTGTGCCCCGGTCCGGGAAGATCCCACATGCCGCGGAGCGGCTGGGCCCGTGAGCCTGTGCTCCGCAACGGGAGAGGCCACAACAGTGAGAGGCCCGCGTACCGCAAAAAAAAAAAAGATTAGAATGGAGAAAGATAAAGAACTCCTAAGTACAAAAAAGACACAGTACAAAAAAGATAAAAGTATATGAACAGATAAATTACCAGAGAAGACACCTGAACAGACATAAAAGGGTACCTGCAGTGAAAAAGATGCTTGCTCTAACCCGTAATTAAAGAAATAAAAACCAGAGCCAAATGAGATACCATTTCACACCTACCAGACTGACAATAACTAAACAGTCTAACAATATCAAACACTATCAAGGACATGAAGTGACAAGAACGCCCACAAAGCACTGTCTGGGGTGAAAATAAAGCCACTTTGGAGAGCAATTCAATAATGCCTAATAAAGCTGAAGACATATGTCCTCTATAAATTCCACTCCTAAATACTTATTACTCTTGAGAAATTCTCCATATGTGCAAAGGCAAACTTGTTCATGAGCATTTCTTGCAAAACTATTTGTAATCTTAAAAATCATCTACATGTCCAGCAAGAAGAATATAAATTGTGGTATATGCAATCCATAGACTACTGTGTGGCAGTGACAACTGAATGAATGAGCTGGAGCTACATCTATCGATACGGATAAATCTCAAAAACAATCTTGAATGAAGAGAAACAAGCAACTTGCAGAAGACAACTTACATTTGGACATCATTTACACAAAGATACACAATACCCTACATTGTTTAAGGATAGATATGAAGTGAAAGACTAAATCATGCACAGGAAAAAGAAAACACTACATTCAACAGAGCGCAAGAGGGGGTTTCAACTGAGAAACACACAGAAGACAAATATGTATTTGTCATGTTTCAGTTCTTAAGCTCAAAGGTGAATACTCACATTTTTGTTGTACCCAAAACACTTTGTATATCTAAAATATTTCATTAATATCAACATCAGTGAAATAATATTAATTCACTCAATATTAATTAATATCACAAAACCCAAGCAGAAAAGCAGAGACTTGTTGCAGTGAATAACAGAGAGTTACTATAGATCCTTGAGTAGTTAAATAACATGATAAAAGGAATTTTCTGAAACCTAGTCTGCCTTTAGAATAAAAGATGATACATGCTGAGCCATTAATATATATGTTGAATGCAGCACCACAGGCTGGAGGAATGAGGACCTGGATTGGAGTCACCAACAGTGTAAATGGAAAGGACACCCGAGAAACAGTTCCAAGAAACAAATGGTAAGATTTGGTGAAAACTGAATGTAAACACAGGAAAAGAATGGAAAAAGGAAAACACAGAATGCTCTCTGTGAGATCTGCAAGAGCCTCATGGGCAATTACACCATACGATTACCTGACTGCACATAGCTAAGCTTGGACACCAGAAAAATGGCGTAATGAGTAACAGAAGTAGAGTAGCCAGGATGGTCGTGAAACAAAGGGGAAAATATTCATCAGTTTTTGACACCATGGACAAGATAAAATATTTAAGTGAAGATGTCTTACTAATAGCTCCAAACACAGGATGGAAACACAGGCCCAAGCCAGAGCTGGAGAGGTGAATTTTTCAATCAACTACACAGAGAAGATTAACTGAAGGCATGGATGAGATGCGCTGACCAGGAGAATTAAGTGAAGAAGTGAGCAGGAGACCTGATTCTGAAGAACACTCAGAAAAAGAAAAACAGAAGAAACAGGACAGGTGGTCAGAGAAACAAACATATAGAAGAACCCCCGGAGAGTTCTGCTTTAGGGAAGCAGAGAGAAGAAAGCTTGAGGGAGGAGGGATTGACAGCACATGCTTCAGAAGCCTGAAGAGGCCACAGAATGAGAAAAGGCCACTGAATGCAGCAAGAAGAAGACCTAGTAACCTCTCAAACAGCTTCAGCAGACTGGTTCAGGTGGAAGCCAAACCGTAGGCAGTTAGACAGGTAATGGAAGGATGTAAAATGAGAGAGGCTGGAATAAAAAACTTGATTTAAAATAAAAGACCAGAAAAAGGCAGGAGAAAGTCTGTACTGTACGTGGACGGGAAGGCACAAAAGTAGTTTGAGCTGGTAAATCCTCTAACACTGCAATATTGTTTTTTCTTGCTTTCAAGAACCTAAGAAATTATGACAAAGAACTTAAAGAAATTTTTTTAAAATGCATTACCTTTTCGTTCAAAACTTTCTTCCCTAAGGATGCAGACCAGTGCCAAAAATTTAGTCACCTCCTTTAAATACAGGACCGTTGTGTTATTCAGCTTGATGATGGCCATAGATTCTTTGTCGTAAGCACTTCCACTTCCATCTTCCTTTAACCTGTTTTAAAACAAAGTATCATCCATTAGAGGTTTCCCAACTCAGCATTTTGTCACATTTGCACAACAATAAGGGTTTCCACCCAGTTTCCTGAACGTCTTTTGAGAAAGGAGAATGCCCGGTCTCCCTTACTGGAACAGAAGCTGTGTTTAGCTATGGGTGCCCAGCCCATGCTGCAGTATTCATTCCATGCGCTCACATCACCTTCTTCACCTAGGATGCATGGAACACAGCAGGTTTCCAATATTCCCTCACACTAACTGGCGCTGACACCCTCTACAAATAAAGAAGGACCTGAAATATGAAAACTGCCATCAGTGAAAAAGGAGTAAATACAAAAACTAAAATCAATAAATACGGTCCCGTTCAAAAAACATAAATCAAGAGTCAAGTAAGCAGGACTTCCTGGTGGCACAGTGGTTAAGAATCTGCCTGCCAATGCAGGGGACACGGATTCAATTCCTGGTCCAGAAAGATCCCACATGCCACAGAGCAACTAAGCCAGTGCGCCACAACTACTGAGCCTGCACTTTAGAGCCCGCAAGCCACAACTACTGAGCCTGCGTGCCACAACTACTGAAGCCCGTGTACCTAGAGCCCGTGCTCCGCAACAAGAGAAGCCACTGCAATGAGAAGCCCGCGCACTGCAACAAACAGTAGCCCTGCTCGCCGCAACTAGAGAAAGCCTGCGCGCGATGAAAACCCAATGCAGCCAAAAAAAATCAAATAAGCAGCAAACTGAACTTCAATAAAGCATACCGAATTGCACACATGTATTGTGTTAAGAATATGAAGTAATGGCTATTTCTCTTCTTTTTTATAATGTACTTTATCATATATAATGTAGTTTACAGTGTACCTTATACTGAAAATAAACTTTATAACTAAATTTGATTTTTTTAATTATAAAAATTGGCTTATGAAAATTTGATTTGTTTTAAAGAAAAAGCGAATGTTCTATTCATCCATTTTTAAAATTAGGAATAGGAACATGAAACTCTTCTGCATAACCTACGGACAAAATCTCATTTTCACTGTGGAAAGAATAAAAACAAAGGAGAGCATATAATCACAAAACTGAAAAAGAGACAGGAATGCAAAGACAAGAATAGACAGGTAAAGAAGAGGTAACACAAATGCATTCTCCTACCCAGAGGCAGCTGGACAAAGACACTGACAAGTTAGGCGGAGAGAGCAAGGTAAAGGGTAGGGACAGAGAGATGAAAGAGGAATTTAGACTAGGTGGAGCAGAGAGGAACAACAGATAAAGGACACAGGTATCAGAAAGCAAAGGTAATGTCAGAGCATCGAGAAAGTGCATTGTGAGGACTGACATTAATACATGAGATGAATCAGGGCTATTAGAGGCTGCAGAGGTTACTGGCTTTTGAAACACCAGTAAGTTCACCAAAGTTTTCACTTGCCCTCTGGGTTATTCTACAAAATCACTTCTTTGCCACCTTTTACAAATTTCTGTATAGAGTGTGGTAAATATGCATAAAACAAGAGTTTATATTTTAGAGACTTATTTTGGAAACTTATGTGTATAGGCCAAATGTTTATAAGTTCTTCTGACATCCAGAATTCTGATTTCCTTGTTTCTGAGCTCTCTGAAAGATTAAGGATCCCTCAGTTCCACAAAACCTGAGATTAAATTAGGAACCAGTACATACTTTGTTATTCAGAGTGTTTTAAATAAATTAATCTTATTTATTGATCTAGCTAAGTTGCAGTAGTGAGAAGACACAGTACAAACCCCCCAAATAATAGCGGGTGAAACTTTCAGTGATAGTAAGTCTGGCACTAGTCACACCGCTCTTATCCACCTATGCTGAAGGAGTAAGACCCAGCAGCCCACCCACACAGAAATCATGCTCCAAGTTGAAGCACTATGGTCAGAACAATTCTACTTCATACACTACTTGCTAGACGCCTCAGAAATTAATCCCCCTGACAAATCAAGCTGGTAGTCTTCCCCGTATCTGAGATCTTGCAGAAATATATATGTATGACTTACCCATATATACAAGACACATCAATTACAACATCAATCATGTCACAGCAAAGTTCATACGACTGCATATCCACAGGAGAACTGTCTGTTGCAATGTAGATTTTGCTGACAACATCGAAGAGAAAAGCTTTTTCAATACCTGAATTCTTGAAAAAACAAAATTGTTCATTTTTTTTTTAAGAATCACAATTTGTAAACTTATCAAAGATCTTGAATCACTGATTAACATCCAAGAGCATTTTTAATTATACAACCTAAAACCAAAAGAGCAAATAGTACTTGCTTAGGAGACACGTCTCTTATCCAAAGAATAAAAGTGGAATTATTTCTCTGCTCTGATTTACTGACATAATCGCACCAGTCAAATTTGTTTTTTCTTCATCCTCTTTACTTAAATGAATTATTTCCTAAGACGCCACACACACACCCAAAAAAATCTCCAAAAATCAAGCCATGCTACATTTTCAATAATCCTTTTTGTGGCAATAATCAATCTCTGATTCAAATGATCTTGCTACCAGAAAGGCTTGATGTGGCAAAGAATGTTTCACGTCAACATCTAGCATAACTCAAAAAGCCCAAAGAACTGGGGATCACTACACATTGAGTCCTTCAAAGAAATGTTTGGGAAATATAGTGGCTGAATGCTAAATTTATTGGAAGAATATCGTTTTTCATTAAGCTGAATCCTCAAAATAAGTAATGTGAAATATGACACAGATTATAGTTAGCAAGGAAAGGATCAATTTTTCAATGTGACCTCCAATAAGGCAGAGATTAAGTCCAATTCCCAAAACCCAGTCTACCCTACTTTCTACTCTTCCTTCAGGAAACAGATACCATGAAGATATTAATTCCGAAAGCATGAGAAAATTTCTCATCAGGGCATTTTAAAACAAGAAAAAATGAGTATTAAGGTAAAAAATTCAGAAAATAACTCAAGCCTTTTTCTTTTTTTTTTTTTTTTGCGGTACGCAGGCCTCTCACTGTTGTGGCCTCCCCTGCTGCGGAGCACAGGCTCCGGACGCGCAGGCTTAGCAGCCATGGCTCACGGGCCCAGCCGCTCCGCGGCACGTGGGATCTTCCAGGACCGGGGCACGAACCCGTGTCCCCTGCGTCGGCAGGCGGACTCTTAACCACTGCGCCACCAGGGAAGCCCTCAAGCCATTTTTTAAATGTTTTTATTACTTACTTTACACTTAATTGTATTATTAGTCCTTAAGCTTGATTCAGACTAATTCCAGCCATTTTTTGGAGAACTTGATAACAGAAATATATTCAACAAAAACGGAACCAGAAACTACAGTGAATTAAATAGCTCACTTACTGATATAAAGATATTTAATAGATTTTCCAAGGTCGGTAGTTGTGGGATAAGTTTCTGCACCACCTTACTAAAGGCTTCAAATATTGAATGGTCATAGATACTAGTCAAATAAAAGCTGAAAAACACAACATAGTTTGATTAATTTGAAAAATCTTAAGTCCAGTGACAATTATCATGATACATAGAATTTTAAGTTTCTTAACATTTGATTTCCGTAAGTTCAAATAAAGCCTCTTTATCTTGTGTACCATACCCATCATGAAAGATGACAAATGCAGTTTCCCCACCTGGCTTGTAGCTCTCCATCCCTTTATTGCATTTACACAGAGGGCAATTGAGGCAGTACACAGGAAAGCATTTTCAGATGCAGAAACCTGAATATTCACCTAAGTCTTTGCAATCTGATCCAAAAACCTTGGTTTCTTAAGCCCATAACTGACAAAAACCAAGATAAAAACCAAGAGAAAGCTCATAGGAGACAGGTGACATTCATTAAATAAGAATACAATACAGGTCTCTACTAAAATGTTAACACTTCAGAAAGTTCCCTCCTGACCCCCCTACCTAAAATAGTACCCCTGTACCCATTACTTTCAACCCCTTTCCCCTAATTTGTTTTTCTTCACAGCACTGATAAGCACTTAAAATTATACTATATATTTATTTATAAATGCTTCTGAGCTGTCTCATTCATCAGAATATAAGCTCCATGAGGACAGAGACTCTGTCAGCCTTGCTCACAGCTGCAGGTCCACTACCCTGAAGAGTGCTCATAAACATTTGGTGAATAAAATGAATGAATAAAACTGGAGCTTAGAATTTATGTAAATAACATATTATGGAGAATGAGAGCAGGGGCTCTAGAGGGAATGGAACAGCTATCTGGAGGCCTAAGAGGATGCACAGTGAAGTAAATTTGTAGATTTAACAAAACACGTATTTGAGAGAGAGAGACCTTTAACAATAACAGTGTGGTCAATTGTACCTACTTTTTCACTCAGGAGATATACTCTTCGTTATAAAGTTGTATCCATTATATAATTATAAACACAAATTACAAAGTCAGAGACACATAACTGTTTATATCACACTTTGTACCTAATTTAAAGATACTTTCAAAGAGCTCACCTAAGAAGCTAACCTAGATGGGGCTCTAATCTAGATGTCAGAACAATGGCACAGGTGAGACCAAGATGATCCCCCCACAGGCACTAGGGTCAAAGGAATATTTTGGCAACGTGATAAGGTCCTGCAGGAACTATGAGGCTTGCAGGTGGATGGGGGCAGGGAAGAACCTCCAAGCCACAGGGCATTTTATAGTAAGCTAAGTTTCTGGAAACTGGAAATCAAATACAGCCTCATCCATAGGCCTGCTAGTTATTAATAAAGCTTAATGCTGTTAACAAGGCCTAGGGCTCCATAGAGAACTGGAAACAGGGATGGTGCGTACCAATGAGGTGGGATGCCCTGGAAAGGGACACAGACATGGTGTTAAGAGGATCAGAAGGGTTCCCATGGGCACTGGAGAACACAGGACAATCATGGCTTAAAATCCATCATTCATGGTGGAAGAATAAGATTGAAGAATTTTATGGGAAGATACTTTCACTTTCTCCTACAAATACTGCTGAATTGTTTTAAAGCCTGAATTACTTGCTCATATTTTAATCCAGGCTAGAGGTCAATGAGACTTTTCTATGTGGTTTCCTAGGAGAATAACAGAAAGATCTTGGAGCCAGAGGCCCTAGAGAATATTAGGGGTTGAAAAATGGGGGTTGGCTTGAGCCTATAGAGAAGTCATTATAACAGACCAGGGATAAGGAAATAGCTATGGTTTGTCTCTCGCCTGCTTCCCCTTTAAGCTGTTTATATCATCAAAAGAACATTTTCTTGGGTACTTTTTATTAGTCATTTCTACCTAAACCATAAAAAAATAAATAAATAAGGTGTAGGAAATATTTCTTATACACTTTCAGAACACAAGTACACAAGTCATCAATCCTATCTAATAGGTGTTCTTTAATAATTTCTTAATATTTAATTATGAATCGGCAGTTCTTTAAACTTAAGAGTTCTTTAAACTTGATAAGATACACTCAACCCAATTTTTAGAGATTCATAAAAGCATAAGTGTTTTAAAAAGCATAAACAAGATACATTACAGTCCAGACATTAAAGTGTACCCTCTTTAAAAAGCTCTTCCTACTGAAACAGACACTGTGAAAGCTCAAGCTACAGACTTTTACAACAAATGCGACAGAGATTCCCTGAAATGAGGCAAGAAGGAAAAAATAATAATAATAATGAAACCAAGAGAGGGGAGCCCCAAAGCAGATTTATGCCATGAGGAAACAGCCTGACTCCAGTCTCTTGAGATGAAATTTGTAAACACACCTACAGAAACACACTTCACATGACTTCCACCTCTGGGAAAATGCAAAAAAGGGGGAAAGTAACGTCTCAATAACATTAGGCTCCCAAGCCTGCTTGAATTCAACAAAGAGATCAAAAACATTACAGATTTGGGAAGGGTATACCAGTAACAGAGAGCTACGTGTTTGTAATGACAGAGATGGGAATACATTTACACACTTTTCAGGGCTCTCATATCAAACACACAGGTTGTTACCTAAGGTGGAGTTTTTCTAGCCCAGCATCTGCAAGGTCATCATTGGCCCTTTGATGAATGTCCCTCTGTGTTTCTATTTTGTGATCATCAGACAGACCATCAACTTTGTGAATAAAAACCTCAAAATTCATGTCTGGGTTAACTTTGTAGGCTTTAGAAACAGTAATGTGAAGTCTTGTTAAAGCCTCCATGTAGTCATCCTGTAAGTCAGAACAAAATATTTTTTAAAAAGAAATCTTAAGTTAAGAAAGCCTCAAACTACCTCTTTCCCCAACCACAGAAAATATATTATCCTAATTATTCATAAATATTCAAACATCCAAATACATGAACTTATACCACTAAACAGACCTTCAATCGCTCAAGATAAAGAATTCAACTACCAAGTTAATGCTTGTAATTTTTAATACTGATAATATAAGGAAAGGAAATGGGAAATGGACACTTCTTCCCAATAGAATTTTTAAAGTAATCCCAGCTCTGCCATTTATTAGATGTGTGACTTTAAGCAGGTTGCTTAAACTCTGTGATCTCAGTTTACTTATCCATAAAATCGGAATTACAGTACCTACCTCCCAGTTTTGTGAAGACATTAATTAGGTCATGTATATGAAAGCAGCCATTACAGAGCCTGTCACTCAGAAAGCATTCCTAACTAATGCTTAAGCTTAGAAGAAGTAAGATTCTTAAGGATGGAGACACATCCCATCAGTCTGAGTGCCCGCCACATGCTAGGCCCTCAATAAGTGCTCCTTGGGCTAAACCCTACTTGGTCAACTAAAGAAACTATTCGCTTTAATATTTACTGACTCAGTTCTCACATTCCTCCTTATATTATGGGCACTGATGAGACCTTTTCAGTGAGTGACATCACTACTGTAATAGCTAATAGAGTACAGCAATATCTACTATTAACAAAAACGGAACGCTGCTCACTAACTAGAACTCAGGGATATAAACCATATCTCCTAGTCATCTGATATTCTGTACTTGTACAATGGCATGCCTGTTCCCAAAGCACCTCTGCAGGTACATCTCTCGCACTGTTAGGGAATCTACTGGCAAAGAAATAAGCTGCAAGAAGCACATGACAAATAAACAACTTTCCTTTGTTCCTACATCTTCCATCACCAAAGAAGAAAAGTAAACATTATCATTTCTAACTACCTGTGCATCAATGACATATATCAAAGCTCCTGTTCCCCTGAAGATCATCTCGTAGTCAAAAGTAGGGTCGAAAAAGTCCATTTGCCCAGGAAAATCCCATATTTGGAAATTCACAAAGGAGCTATTTGAAATGTCATCTTTGTAAATCTTGTTGGTACTTTCCAAAAAGAGGGTCTCGTTGGGTGACATTTTATGAAACACCACCTGTCAAAAGAAAGAAAACAATTTAATGACTATTCCACTTTTTATTTAAAATACAGAACTCCACCCTGAATTAACATAAAGAACTTGATCCTATAGCAAAAAAAAGAGGTAAAAAGTGAATGGTGTATCCACTGGTATCCACTATCCTTTAACTTCTAACAGAAGACACCAAATTATTGAAACCAAATCACCAGAAAAGCTGAAACTTTTCTGCTATTTTCTGTCTGTATTCAATACTAGCAGTAGCAACGTCTCTCATTTCAGTTTGATTTTTTTTTCTGTAAAACTATCAATTCTGCCAAAATCTGCTTTAAGATTATGAAAACTTATAAAGTTTAAGCAGTTTTGTTCACTGAAAACTTATCAGGCTCTGAGAAATAATCAGAAATGAAACTGACTGGACCCTGCCCTCAATGGGTTTGCAGTCTTGTGGAAGAAATGAAACAAAGGCAAATTATACCAAGCAGAAAGTGACATATTGAGGCAGAAGGAATATATGTGGGGAGGGGAAAGAATGGGAGTTGACAGGGAAAAGACAGCTCCCAAAGAAATGGTAAAGGCAATTGTTAAGAATCAAAATTATCACAATCTACACAATTCTAACACAAAACTAATTTGCCTCTCTGTTACTTTCTAGATGAGGAAAATGGATAGTTACTCCCAAGGCTTAGATAGTGAGTAACAAGTGAAAAGAATTAAAATCAGTTTGCTAAAAACCTACCATAAATGTACTCAGATTTTGCTGTAAAGGTAAAAGATAAATAAAACATAGTAATCCATTACATGTGGAAGAAGGCTACTTCTTAAAAACATCATGTCTACAGAATATCATGCAGAGATTTATTTTGGAGAGACCTCTGCAACAGAGTGGAAAGGGCAAAAGGCCAGGTATCTAGCATTTAATCGCCAGCTCACTTTGTGTGTAAGAGCCATGGCTGATGAAGGAGGTCAACCCTGCCTCTATTTCCCCCTTATTAAAAAGTGAGGAACCCTCCATCCGTTCCCGACATTCCCCAAGTGAAAGCACATGGACTGACAAAGGTCTGCAAATATTCTCCAGGTCTCAAAATTTTTGTAGCCACACACAAACGGGGGAAAATCACTAGTAATTATACTCACCGGGCCACAAGTACTAAAATAGGTGGAAGAACAGCCCCCAAATCCCACAAATGTCACAGTGAAGTCTCCTTCGTACTAGTAACAAGAGGAGGCATTGCAAAGGCCAAAGAGTTAGTCACTACTCTTTCTGACGCTGCTCCCTGGGGCTCACCTGGGAAGCCCTGAAAATTCAGATCACCTGAAGTGAGAGGCACAAACACAACCGGGTCCGGGGAGGGAGTGTGGGAAGTTCTCCAAGTTAGAACCAGGGAACAAGTCTCAGTTTCGTGAATGGCACAGGGGCTGGGTCCCAGGAGGCGAGGTCCCAGGCGGTGCCACGGACACCTGCCTCGCTCCGGCCACTCGGGGAGCGCGGGGACCCAGTCGGCCTCGGCTGACCTGGGCGTGGACTCCAAGATCGGGGTCCCGGCGAGGGCCGCGCCCGGGCTCTGCTCCCCGGAGGAGAAGAGAAAGTGCGCTGGGACAGCCCGGCCGCCGCCCTCCTCGGGGCCTCCCCCCCGGCGGCCACCCGCGCCCCCGGGTAGAGGAGGGAGGGGGAGGGGCGGAGGGGCCGGCGAGGCCCCACTCACCTTCTGGATGGAGGACTTGCCGCTGCGCCTGAGCCCCATGAGCAGAATCCTAGGCTTGGAGCTGTCAGCGCCCCCCGGGCCACAGCCTCCGCCGGCCCCCGCCCCAACCCCGCCGCCCGCCGCTGCCGCCTCCTCTTCTTCCTCCTCCACGCCGTAGCCGAAGTCCTTTGGGAACGAGTCCGCCGGGCCGTAACTGCCGGCGAGGGGCGTCTCCTCCGCCCCGTACTGCAGGGACATGGTGCTGGAGCCGCCGCCGCCCGCGCCCTGACAGGCCACGCCAGGCCGAGCCAGGCCGCCGCCTCCCCAGGCCGCCGCCGCCACCGCCCCCGGCAGCCGCCACCGCCATGCGGCCCGCCCCCCGGAGCCCGGCTCTCATAGGCTCGGCGCCCGGGCCCGGCCCCTCATTGGCCGCCCGAGCTGCCACTCGGGAGCAGCAAGGTAGGTGGTGCCCATCACGTGCTCGGAATCACCTGACTCGGAGCCGTGGAGGGGGGAGGAGGAGTCACGAGGAGGGTGGCCCGGCCCGACTGAGCCCTGAGCCCTCTGCCCTCCGCCCCAGCCCGCACTTCGGCCCTGCCCAGCCACGTACCTTGCTCCTCACCGCTCTCCTACTTTCTTCCGGGCTCCGGAGGCCATCGCAATAGGAGATGCTCTCTGGGCACTTGGGAGAATGACTGTCCTACTACTATTGTGCTCGCCCAACCAGTATTTATTGATGCCCGCGAAGTCCTGGGGCACAAGGGGCACAGAACTGGAACCGCCTTGGACCCTGCCTGCCCTCAAGTTGCTCCAAGATTAATGGGGATCGGACCTCTGCGTAAGTAGCTTCCGTACGAGATATCAAATCGTAAGGTCAAAGGTACAGATAAAAATGCTCGGGAGTTGGGTGGACGCATCTCTAAGGAGCTGGCGTCTGAATAGTTCTAGAAGGATGGATATGGTTGGGATGTGCAAAGGTATGGAGGAAGAGCCAGCCAGAGTGAGGGCAAAGCCTCAACCAAGGCAGAGTCATGGGTGAGATAGTTCGTTCTAGCAGGTAACTGGACCCTGATAGGAAAGCAAGTGCAAGCAAGGGAGAATGTCTTATCCTTTTTCTTCAGCAAATCACTGACAGTGAATACTCCTGCCACTTCACACTCATCAGGACCAGATTCCCCCTCCTCCCCACCCAAAGTCTACTTCTTCAGTAATCCTGTCCACCCATAGAACATTGCATCTTCTATGACCTCCTTCAGATCAGAAACCAAAGGAATGAATAAAGAAAGCAAACCAAAGCAAATGCTTATCACCAATATGTTTGGGGAAGCTAGAGGAATTTTTACTCTTCAGTCAGGCTTTAGAATTGGAAATTTGACAAAAGAGGATCCTCTTCCTGAAGGGGGCATGGGTGGTGGTACTGATCTTCCAAGGAAACTAACTTCTTGATTGTGAAGGGAAAGCATGTATGCAAATCTGGGACTTGGTTCTGTCTGAACGTCGAAGTTAAAGGTAGGACACATACTTAGAGGTCATCTAGTCCAACCTCTCACCTAAAGAGAATCCACTCTACAGTGTCTCTGACTGATAGACATGCAGCATACGCTTCAATAGATGCCAGGGAAGAGAGCTCACTATCTCAATAGGCATCCAATTCCACTGTGGTAAAACTTTGTTTAAAAGTCTCTTATTCAGGCCAAAAATCACACTCCCTGGAGCTTATATACCAGAGTCTATAAGCAGTGGTCATCATCTTTTTCATGACAGCACCTCACATATTAGATTACAGTCTTCATTACCCACTGTCTTCTCTGTTCCACATTAAACATACTCAGTTCCTTCAGCCATTCCTTCTACAGTAATGTCCAATAGCACTTCCTGTGATGATAGAAACGTTCTACATCTACACTGCTCAATTGTTGCTAGTGTGACTGAGGAACTGAATTTTTAATTTTGTTTAATTTTAATTGCCAGATGTGGCTAGTGGCTACTGTATTGGACAACACAGCCTTATAGTTTCAAATGCACTCTCCTTTATATGCAACTGAGCTTGTCAACATCCATCAAATGTCTGACACCTACAATGCAATACTGACCAATACAGCCTTCAGGGTGACTGTTTAGCACCTGGACAATATTTCTATTAATGCTTTCCAGAATGGATTTTTTTTTTTAATATACATGGAGTATAAGTGGTTCACATTGATAGTCACTGGAACTAGTACTTTGTCAGCAATCCTAGTGACTAAACTTGTATAGCTACATTTTTTAACCTAAATGTAAGACTTGATATTTCAACTTTTTGGCTTAGGCTGTGAAGTTTAGGTACTTCAAGTTGTTGATCATTTTCAAGCTCATTTCAATATAGTCTACCAACCAGCCCTTCCAACTTTGTGGCACTTAGAGAATTAGCATTACTACCATCTGACCCTTTGCAAGGTACTTTTACATCCATTATGTTTAATTTGATCCTTACAATACCTTGTGAGGTAGGCAAGATAACGAAATCTACATTTTATAGATAAGGCAGCTGAAACAAACAGGAACTAAATAGATTGGATCCTTTTTTACTCCATTGAGCATCTTCTTGTATACTGTCTTCATTCAGATCCTTGCTAGAAATGTTGAAGAGGACCTCCAGAGGCCAGGCTGACCCTGAATTCATAGCACTGACTGATACAGCAGTTTAAGCAGGTCAGTTCCCCCAAAAGGTCTGATTTTCCAACCCACAGGTTGCCATTCTGTTCAAAAGGATGGTACAAGAGACAGTCATTTGACTTACATAAATATTAATACCAGTCCCATTGGGAAAAAAGCAAATGAGGGTTGGCTGCCAGAAAAAATTTCTACTTGCCTGTCCACAAAGGGACTGTCATACCAATTGCTTAAGGAAGCCAAGTCTCCCTCTCTTCCAAAACTCCCATGGGGCCATGTTTTATTATTATTTATGGTTCTTAGCACATCCTGTCCCACATTGTAGTTGGTTATATACATGGCTTAAAGCTAACTTCAAGTCATTCACCTTTATAACACCTAGCACTCAGCCCACTGCTGTCCATGTAAGAGGCACTCGAACCGGTAAAACATAAACCAATTCAAGTAAATGTTCTTCCAACTGTATCTGACTCCCCTCCAAAAACAAACTTGTGACTAGAAGAGGCACAGACAGTTGCCACATTCCTGCCAACATGACTGATTAAAATGCCCTTATGATTGGCTTGGTCACAGTTTCCAGAAGGTGCTGAGGCTTTTGCTAGTTAAACCAGCTTTCATTGGATTTTGTTTTCTATGTGTGTTTTCACCAAAAAATAAAGACATTTCTCTAACAATAGGGACAGAATACATGAAATAGGACTACTTTTTTTTTTTTTTCTTGCGGTACGCGGGCCTCTCACTGTTGTGGCCTCTCCCATTGTGGAGCACAGGCTCCGGACGCGCAGGCTCAGCGGCCATGGCTCACAGGCCCAGCCACTCCGCGGCATGTGGGATCCTCCCAGACCGGGGCACGAACCCGTGTCCCCTGCATCGGCAGGTGGACTCTCAACCACTGCACCACCAGGGAAGCCCAGGACTACTTCTTAATAATGCTAGTCAGTCAATAAGGAAAATGTGATCAGTAACACAAAACATCTGACTCTAGGTGTTCCAAGAAAGGAAAAAGGACTAACAAACAAGAATATAGTGCTTTACCATTTACAAATCTTTCACATACATTCCATTTGACCCTCACAACAACCCTGTGAGGTAGGCAGCACAGATATTACTCCCATTTAACAGATGAGGAAAGTGAATCTCAGAGCAATTAACTGATGTGCCCAAGGTTCTACAATTAGTAAATAATTTGTATTTATATCAGTCTTTGGCCTAAAAATTCAGCACCCCACCTCCCCTCATACTTGCCTACCTACTTCACAGGGATAATGAAGATAAAATGAATTGAAGGCTAGAAAAATACTTTGAGGGAAAAAAGCACTATATAATTATACCCGCAAACTATAATTTTCCACGATATATGGCTCATTCCCCTTCTTGTCCCAGCTTGTGCGTGAACCCAGAATTTTATATTGCCTCTGTTCTGTGTTCAGCTAAGCAACAAGTAAGGCAGGGGAACAGTGTGATTCTCTTTAAAGTTATATAAATTACAATCAGGATAACTGCTATTATAGCAAGTTGAAAAACAACACAGAAAGGCCAATGTGCAACTGGGACCCACGGAAGCACACAGTAAAGCAAGGCAACATTATCAGATAGGGCATGATTGCATAGAAGGAAATGTGGTGTCAGAGTTCACACTGGCACACACACAGTTATCTAAGGCAAAGTGGTGGCAAAGAAGAGTCATTTGTTCCACATTATATAAACAAGAGCAGAAGATTCATGAGACCCCATGCAACAGTATCTTATGTCACACAGATCTCTCCAGCTGCCTACAGAGACTATAAACAACAGTGTCATCTTCATTTTAAAGAATGACTACCTGTGTTCATATCCTGAACTAAACCAAGGAATAGCTCCATGCTAAACTTCCTTGGCTAAAATACAACCAGTACCATCATTCCTAGTCAGACTAATAAACAGAATGTCTTTTAAGGTAATGAATTAGATGGCTGTGTTTAGATGTTTTTTCAGGATTCTCTTTTGATTCTCCTGCTTTTAAGACCCAAAGAAAGTTATATTGAGTTTTTATTGGTGATTCTAAGTATATGTGTTTATAACAGTTAAAGTGTGGTAGGTGAATTTAACATATTAAAAGAGTACTATAGCATCTGTTCAGAAAAGATTATATACTATACAAACTATTCAAGTCATACAAAACCATTTTTCAGTGTCTTTTCAACTGAGAAGAATCCTATTCAGCACGCTTCTCCTCCTGAGGTGGTTCATACTGAGCAAGCTATGGGGCAAAGACAGAGGAGTTTAGGTGAATTTGATTCTAAATTGGGTAAAAAACTTAGTAGTAACAAAACGAGTTAACTATTCAATTTAATTACTGAATCAGTAAGTTTATATTAAAATCCTATCCTTTTTAAACCACTCAGTGATCTTAATATTTAATATAATCAAACCTAGTGAAAGTTCTTTTTAAATAAACCTTTAAAATTACTGGGAAACTAAAACTTAATTCCCATTCATGACTGCACTACACAAATACTAGATATGCAATAATATATATCTTCCCAAAGATGTTGTGGCTTCTAGTAAGGTATAAGCCACCATATTCTTTCTCTCCACCATAAGTTTACTGAACTTTCTCCTAAAAAGCAGAAAAAAAGAATTATGTGACATACATTAATCTAGCCAGTCAATGAGGAGCAGCTAACGCTTTTGACTTAAAAGGTGCCAAAAAGTTGTGTGGCATCTACACACTGTGGGATCTTGGATAATTTCAGACACGGAATTTTCTGTTATGCCGAGCTGGGGTCTGCTGCAACACTGTGCTAAGATTTGAGTTGTTCCAGTTAGCTGTCAGATTGGAGAAGCTAATTAGACTTCACTGTGCTTTAGTTTCCTCACCTACAAAATGGTCTGTGCACCTGTGTGACTTATCTCACAAGGCTGAGAAGATAAAACACATCATGAGAAATGCCTAGAGTCACGTGAAATGCATTATGTGATTCAGATGTGGTAAAACCTCATAGACTTAAGAGTTGACTAGTTTGAGCTTTATGAAAATTCTCACGGAAGCTTAAACAAAGAAAAAACTTCAGCAATAGACAAAATTAAGGGCAAGCAAATGTACCGAGGTTAAGTGCAAACAAGTTTACAGAGTTAACACATTACAGGGCCACCACGTGAGTACGCAGATTGTGCACTGCACCATCTAAGGGGTTCCATTAGCAAAGCAGTGGCCCTGTATCGACCTATTAAGTCAACTGCCTGAGACTCTAAGGAATCTCCATTTACTTATAAACCACTAATCATTAACCAATATTTTCATCTTTTTGTCAATGAAGGTTCCCAAGAACCTCTTCTTGACCACACTTTGCTCATCCTGTTTACAGTTTGCTTGTGGTTTTCTAGACAGGGCATCAGCTTGGGCTTGCAGTTAACTGAGATTGATATTCACCTGCCTCCCTCCCCTACTGTCCATTTTAGTGAGGTTTTGGTCATATAATCATTAAAGGTGACATTATTTTTAATATGAATTCTTTCAAAAATTTTACCTTTGTTTTCAGTTTTTTATTTTCTTCTACAATAGCTTCATATTTCTCTTTCATTTCTGCCAATTCTAGGCGAAGCAGCTCTATTTCTGGATTTTCTGGGGTAGCAGCTCCTAAGTGATGCTTTAAAAAACTAATATAAAAGTTAAGAATTTACTTGAGCTCAATGAAACTAATGAAATAGCCTTTTGAAATAATTCTCTGATGAGAGTTACCCCACCCTACCACAAATATTTACCCAGAGATCAAAATCCAAATACTCAAAGAAAGTAATTTTTTCAGTAATCAAAAGTATTTTAAAGGTTATTATCTATGTGAAAATATAGGAGTTCAAAAAAATAAAGGCCTTTTTCTGACTTGAAAAATGAAAAGGATACTCCAAAGCACTATTAGGTTTCTCTGGTTCTTCATATAAGGCTACCAAAACTGCAAATCAAAAAGCAGAAAAAACAACAATTAAAGTCTTAAAATAGCTGAAATTATATTCCATACCCCAGTAAATACTGAGTGTCTATTATACACCACGCACATTGCTAGGACTGTCCATACCATGGTGAACAAGACAGACAAGGTCGCTGCTCTCAATGAATTTACAGTCTAGTGCAAAAGATAAACAAGGAACTAGACAAAAAAAGACTATCAAGCAGCAATATAGGGTAATGGGTTATAGGAGCACATTGGAAGAACACCTAACTCAGCCCAGGGCACCAGGGAAGGCGTCCCCAAGAAAGAGAAATAAAGACCTGAGACCTAGGCAGTGGTTTCAGATAAAAAGGGAAGGCCAAGGGCAAAAGAACATATTGAGGAACTGAAAATTCAAGTGTGTCTAGATGGAGTTGTGAAAAGGGGGGCAGGAAAGGTGGTTAGGGAGGAGACCAGAGGATCCTGCAATTTCAGTCAGGCCTTGGTCCTAAGAACAAAATGGCATGTAATTAAACAGTTATAAGCAGGGGAGTGACAGGATCACTCTTGACTCCTGTGTGGAAGACAGACAAGTGGGACAAGGATTTAAAGGCAGGAAGAGCAATTAAGAGGCTGATAACAGTAATCCAGTTTAAAGAGAGAGACCTGGGAATTCCCTGGCAGTCCAGTGCTTAGGACTCTGGGCTTCCACTGCAGGGGGCACGGGTTCAATCCCTGGTCGGGGAACTAAGATCCCGCGTGCCTCGTGGCGCAGCCAAAAAAAAAAAAGGGAGAGAGTGACCTGCACTAGAGCGATAGAGGGATGAAAACAAGGTAGATATGTTTGAGAAAAACTGTAGAGAATCAACAGGGCAATGGTTAACTGTTGGAAGGAAGAAGCTCTGAATTCAAAATTCTTCAAGAATGAAGTTTCACATACAACATGCTAAACAACTACCAACCAAAAACTTTACCAGTAATCAACATGCTCAAATCAATATTAAAATATATACTTTAGTGGTTTCATATACAATAGTTTACGTCAGCACTACCTTTTCCATCTTATTATTGCACACATTCCTTCTAGGATATACTACTCAAGTAAAAATCTCTCTAAACCAGTGGTTAATTTTTTTGTGCACAGAACTCTTTGAAAAATCTGATCAAAGACAAAAAACTCTATCTACACACAAAAAAATGTGCATATCTAGACCCCAGTTTAAGAACACCTCATAAGCCAACTTACATGCTCCCCTTTTATTTTTTGAGTCGTAATAACCCTTCAAATATAGACAGTATTAAAAAAATCCAATGGGCAACTAATACTAACAACTTACGTTAAGTTCTGATACTCTTCTAAACGTACTTACAGCACTGTTTTTTGAGAAATTGGCATATTTACATCATCACTACCCTCTCCTCTCCTTCCCTCTTCTTTCAGTGTTACAGTACACTTTAATTCCTCTACTTATTACCTTTTTCTTGAAACTATGTACTCAAGCCTCTGTTTCTTCTTCCATTAATTTCCACTGATCTCTACCAAATTCTAACTTTATAAGACATGAATACTCTTACCCTTTCTTCCCCTACCCTTTCTTTTAGCTTCTAAGTTTCTGTCAGTGGTAGTTACAAGGTTGATAATTACAGAACATAATGTAAATGTCAAGTTTCCTGTGCTTTTCTATAGATGAAATATACTTCCTTTTAAACAGACAAGAACTCTGTACCCAGTGTTTCCCTTTTTGCCTTAGCAGCCAGGATTTTTAGAGGTTGATACAGTGCTCAAAATAACTAAAATGCCTCTTCTTCCAAATGACTTATCTTTATCTTTAGCCATCCCTATAGCGTTCGTTTTTTTGTTTTGTTTTGTTTTTTTGCGGTACGCGGGCCTCTCACTGTTGTGGCCTCTCCCGTTGCGGTGCACAGGCTCCAGACGCGCAGGCTCAGCAGCCATGGTTCACGGGCCCAGCCGCTCCGCGGCATGTGGGATCCTCCCGGACCAGGGCACGAACCCGTGTCCCCTGCATCTGCAGGCAGACTCTCAACCACTGCGCCACCAGGGAAGCCCCCTATCGCGTTTTAATGTTAGCGTTTTAACGTGGAAATAAGCTGGATAAAAATTATAAGTTATATCTGTGTAAAGTACACAAAATCAAACTTTAAATAGATCATATCAGTAGATACTCTGTTGTCTGATGTTACTTAGGAGACTGGAAATCTAGGAAAGTTGAGAGGGAATACCAGTAGATGTCAGTAAGGGAAAAGAAGCCTCTCGTGGTTTCCAGTCTCTCATGAAGGAAAATCCATGTATGGCCACAAGGCTGAATATCTTCATTTACCTCCCACTATCATCACTTCTCTGTCCTTACCAGAGTATGTTTCATTCACTCCATCCAGCCACTCTGGCCTCCTTACACTTCCTGAAACTCGACATCACACTTCACTCATGTCTCTGCTCAAATGTTCTTAAGAGAGGCCTTGCCCCACCACCCTATATAAAATGGCACACCCATCCTCCTTATGCCCTTACTTTGCTATGTTTTTTTCATAACACTTACTGCTGGTTGACACTATGGTTTATCTGTCTCCCCCAACTAGGATATAAGTTCATTTAGAGCAGGAACTTTTTTTTTCCCCCAGTGTTTTATCCCCGGTGCCTAGAACAGACACCTGAATAAAATGGTTAAATAAATGAAACAAGTGCGCTTGTGGAGTTTTTTGAGGGGTGGGGGAGGTCGATGAAATTCCAAGAGTCTGTGATACCTCCCCAGGTGACAGCACAAGTGCTTTCATGTAGTCCCTTAAATGTTTACTGAAACTTCTTTGCAAAGAGATAGGAAACTGGTACCTGAACCTAAGGTAGCAACTCAAAATTACCAGCCCATGCTTGGGAATTAAAAGCCTTGCATTCTGCTAAGACCCAGAGTTGTTATTCTCCCAGGATTTTCTCCTAACTTTTGCTTCTGGCCAAAGAGCAGTTACCAAATTATTTCCCAGATATTTACTGTACTTCTCGTAGGGACCCAGATCATCATCCCTGCCAACTCCTCTGTTCTGCACCCTTGAAAGTTCCAGCCAGTGAGTTGAATGATACATAACAGGAATTCGCCTTACGGCTTAGCTAATGAAATAAGCAGTACCCACACTACCTCTTGGAACCCTCCAGTTTCAAGCACCTTATTCATCTACTTAGATCTTGAACCCCAGAGTAAGAGATACAGTGTAACAGCTTCCATTTTTAAAAGTGAAAACAATATAACCGTTTTGATGTGCCCTCAAGCTCTTTAAACTGTGATTCTACTTTAATTGTGAAATCTGCACAAAGTAGGAATTGATATAGACTACGAAACTGGGTTCCGTTGAAAAGCCACAGCCAAACTGCTACTTCGGGGATTAGGTTCACTTAGCTACTTTATAGCCCGCTTTCAAACCTGGTCATCGCCCCACTTGCCCTTTGTTCAAAGGAAAGTGTTTCTGTACAGGATTTTGAGGGCTCCGAAAAAAGTGTCAGGAGGGAGGAGTTGGGCTCTCAAGGTCTTTAGCAAACATGCTCACTGCGGCTGCTCAAGGCAAAGCAACGGAAGTTGGAGGGACTTCACAACAGCTGCAAGAGTTTGACTCCCTGCGGCGAGAGCGGTAGCGAGTGCGAGGCTACCCAACCCCGGCGGCGGCCGGCAGCCGGGCGTGAGCCGGTCCCCGTTGAACCCCGAGGCCCACCTCGCTGAACCCGGGACGAGTTCCACCTGTTTCCCTCCTGCCCCACGCCACGGCCCGTCTGGGGCGCTGCGCCGAAGAGCACGACGAGGTCACGAGAAACCCTCTCCTGGCCCATGCTCACCCTTGGTCAGCGTGTCCAGCACCCCCGACTTCTCCAAGTACCTCCGGAACTGCTCGCGCTTCGAGTCGGCGGCCTGAGGAGACACGGCGGGTCAGTGGCCGAAGCCCGGGGGCCGGAGCAGGAAGAAGGCGCTGGGAGTCCGGCAACGCCGCCTCCGCCTCGCCACCTCAAGCCCCCCAGACCTGCGCGCGCGCCCCCACTCCCACCCAAGCCGACCAGCGGCTGGCTACCGCCCGCACGCCCCCAGCCACGCCGCGCCCCCCTCACTTTGTAATGGGCCATAGTGACAGCGGCAGCGGCGTAGCTGGCGCCGGAGACCGTGGCGGGAGGGCTCGGAGCAGCACTGCTCATGCGCGGAAGGGCGCGCGCGCCTGCGCACTTGTGAACCACGGTTCGGGACCGCCGGGGTGTGGCCCGTTTTCATGGTGACCAGGACGCTCTGAATGCCCCATAGCGAGCTGAGCCCAAGGAGGCTGCGTACGCCCGCCCCTCTGTCTAGCAAAGCAGCACTCCTCCTTCCTCTTCCGGTTCTCGCAGAGATTCGGTTACTTAGTAGGAGGCTGGGTTTTGGTAACTCCGGAGAAGTGTCCAGATGGGGCCAAAGGTGGGCGGGGCGCCAGGGGGCGGGGCCTACTGAGCCTGGAGCATTAGAACTCATTCTAGAGACTGGGGTCTCCTGACACCGGGAGTGGGCGGACCTGTCTCAAGTAGGACCTCCGGAGCTCTGGCAGCGTGTGTGTGCTGGCTTGTCGACCCCCATCTTGAAAAAGGGCGCACTAACGAGGGCAACCCTTGGATTTCCAATGGCTAGAGGACTGCTTAGAATCGTCTGTTTGGGCTCCAGCTCTTATATTTGGAGTCTCCTTGTTTTGTGGCCAACTTGATGTGGGCCTCCGGAGGGTGAGCAGTAATGTGCTAATAATAGCTAGCACTTTTGAGCGCTTACTGTGTGCCTGGCAGTGCATTAAACACATATGTTTCTTATTTTAATTCTCACACCGTCCCTGTAAGGTAGGTACTGTTAGTAAACTGTCAAGTATAGATAACCAGTGAGTAGTAGAGCCAAGACTCCGATCCTGGCACTGAATCACGATGCTATCTATAAACTGGTGAAAGAAAGCGACCAGTCTTTTTAGGATTTTATTTACCTAGATAGCAACATTATGATTATATTCAAGACAGATCAGGTTGCAGTCTATAAAGAAACTGCGTTAAGTCCCAGGGGCAAACAAAGTATAATCAGTGTCCAGAAGTAAAAGATGAATAACCAAAAGAGGGAATTACATAGATTAAGAACAATCTCTGAAGGCTGTGCTCCCTTCAAGGAAAAACCTGGTTCCATTTAGCTTCGATTCTGACATGTGATTTTCCCAAAATTAGTGTTATTCTGAAGGGAGCCTGTAGAAAAGTAGTCCTGATTTGGTAACTCTATGCCTTTGAACTTGAAACTAGTCCTTCCCAATTCAGAATTAGCGCCATTTTCCCTTTTTTAAATGGGTTTGCAGTTGTCTGTCTAAACAGCTGGTCTGTAGAGCTGCCCTATCTGTTTTTTCTGTGCTCAACCATCATTAAGCTACTTCTTTGATAACGTAATACACAGAATGTCTGAAAGCCAACAGCTGTTCAGATCTGAAGGTCTGTGGGAGCCCGCCTACCAATGAGGTTGTTTGTCAGCGACACTAAATGATTTGGAGGACAAGCAGTAGGGTTACTGCAGGTTTTGACCAACTCGGATTCAAAGGACAACCCTCCCAAAGAATCAGGAGTGTCTGGAATGTCAAGTGGATGGAAGTCTCCCTGTGAAGGAGGGAGCGTTCTGATTGTGCTCTCCCTGAGCTGGCCCTTGACGTTACCTTTAGGAGGTGATGCCTGCTTTTCATTTTCTGCAGAGGGACCCCAAGTAGCACGAAGCCATTTCGGTTTCCAGGTGTAGTTAGCTGGCAGAGAGAAAGCTGTTTGGGGTGACTGCCCCGTGTGGTTGTTCAGATCTATAGGATCACCTGGAAGAGAACAGTGACCTTTAGAGTAGTGGTTCCTTTTGCTGTCTTTGCCATCAATTTCTCTTTTTCTCCTCAACTGGTTACCATTAACTTCTTTTCCAGATATTTTATGGGTGTCTCCTTTATTACTTGAGTTGATGTTTTGAAGATGACCACAGGTAGTACTAAGCATACACATCTCAGAAAGTAGCGTTTCCTGTTCATCCAAAATGCCTTTGTCATCATTTCCACTGTGATTATCTGGATCTGTCTGAAATGCAGGTGGGTTTAAACCAGGGTACGCTGCTGTGTGTGTTTGCTTTTCCACTAACAGATTGTAATCAGGTGCAGAAGAGAATCGTTTCAGTGAATTTGCAGATGTGTTTTGATATTTGGCAAGGTTTTGTTTTGACTTGTTAGTACAAAGTTCATTATGTTCATCCTTCAATTTATATTGTCCCCAAAGCCCTCTTTTAATCTTTTTAAAACCTAGATGGAATATTTCTAGAACATTTAAGAAAAGTGAAACAGTAGCTATGGATTGCATAAATAATAGGAATATCGTCTTTTCTGTGGGTCTTGAGACAAAACAATCAATTATATTTGGACACGGGTGGCCGTGGCATTTAAATAGAGGCTCTAAGTGAAATCCATATAAAAGATACTGTCCAATCATGAACCCAATTTCAACCACAGAGCGAGTGAGAATGTGTATCACATAAGTGCAGAGCAAGGTTCCTCTGAGTGGAGCTTTATTTAGTTTCCTTTGCTCAAGCTGATGCAGTTCTTGCTCCAGTCTCTTCCGATCCCCAGGCATTTCAAGCTCTACCTCCTCCAGTTCACCCCTCAGTTGAGCTTTCTTCATCTGCCTCTCCTTCTCCAGAACTCTCAGTTGGTACAAAGCATGGCCCATGTAGACCAGGGATGGTGAAGACACAAATATCACCTGCAAAACCCAGTATCTAATGAGGGAGATAGGAAAGGCCTGATCATAGCATACATTTCTGCAGCCGGGTTGTTCTGTATTACAGATGAAGCCAGACTGCTCATCATTCCAGACATCTTCAGCAGCTACACCCAAAACAAGCATTCGAAATATGAACAGGACGGTGAGCCACATCTTTCCAATCATGGTGGAGTGGATGTGAACTTCCTCCAGAATGCCTCCAAGGAAATTCCAGTCCCCCATGTTTATTTAGTCAGCCATCTTAGCTCTGAACCCCATCAAATAGGAGGCAGATAAGTTCTTCCATTCTGAGGGGTGTGCTATTTCTTAAGGCAAACCTATGGCCAAAATATGAACAAATCATCACTCTTTCAGCATGCTGGTTGCTCTACTTTTTTCCCTAGAAAGTTGTAATAATCTGTTACCAAGAATATGTTTAAGATGTCAGGAATATAAAATAATTTATGTTTAGACCTTACAATGCAATGGGGAAAAAAAAGATACCTGGAGGAGGGGTGTATATATTCCCTCCTATGAAGAATAGAATTATAGGAATTCCTGTAAGAAAAGAGTCTTCTTACTCAGCTGAAGTTTGTTATTTTATTTTTTTTAACTGAGAACTTTTGGAGAGGTTCCTAAAACTACTGACTTGATCTTACAAACCTAGTAAGATTATTTTATATAAAAACTATAACCAAAGTCAACGATTTTAAAATCTCATTTATGCACAAAGGAAAAGGCATGTTTCATTTCATAATCCAGTAAGATACAGCATTTAAAGAAACCAAAAGAAACAAATCTGGCTCTCACTATAAGAATGTAGATTAGTTTTTTAATCCACATTTAAATGTCTAAATTCTAGTTTCTTTCTGGCAGTTTTTGAGCATTTTCAGAAATCATTTCAGTAATATATTTATGAATATTTATGAAATTATTACTAACTTTGCTGTGAAAATTTTCCAAAAATTCTCAACTATTTTGTACTACCAGGATGTTATTAGATATTGCTTGAAATAAATGGATCATTGGTATGGTGGTAGTATTATAGAAATTTTCATTATAACAGTATTTGACCTTTTTAAGACATGTAGCTTGCTTTGTGGAGGGAGCAGTGGGGCGAGTTATAATATAGATGCTTGGATTATGAGCCAGTAGGTTCCATATTAGAGTTGATACCCTAGGATATCTAAGAGAAAGTATATCCCAAAGGAAAGAAAAAAAGAGTGAATGTTTTCATTCACTTTCATTTAACATATAAATGTATGTCCTATATCCCTTATAGAAAGGGAAATGATACACAATCAAGCAACATACTGGGATATTATAGCTACAAGATATGTGCATCACTAAAATCCTATGAGGTAGGTATGTTGTTCCCCCATTTTACAGATCAGGAAACTGAGGCACACCTTAAGTTACCCAAGATTACACAGCTAGAACTGGTATTCAAACTCAATCACTGTGGCTCTAAAGTCAGCTCTTAACTGTTTTACTAGACTGTTATTTTTCCTCTCTAAGCACACTTGAAATTTTCATGAAAGAGATATTAAGAAATCATCTGTTTTCTCTTACAAGTTTCATTATTTACATTAGGTATGTCAAATAGTGAAAGTTTTGACTTTTTAAATAACAGGTTCTAGAGTCTTTAGTTCCTTTTTGAAAGCTTTATATAGTTCAGAAGACTTGCAGAAGCATCAAACTTCTAAAATTGAGTTGTATTCCTGAGATAGAGAAAATTTCTATTTGATTTTATATACTTATATACTTTATATACTTATATACTTATATACTTTATATACTTTATATACTTTATATATATATATATGACTTTATATACTTATATACTTTATATATACTTTATAAAATTTTTTATATATATATAAAATATATATACTATATACTTTATAAAATTTCTATTTGACTTTATATACTTTATATACTCTTTGACCCAACAATCCAAAGCATTTTAAAGTGTAAGCAAAGATATTATTCTTGTTGTTTATAATAATCATAACTTGAAAATATCCAAAATAATTATCAATACAAGAAAGACTGTATTGTTCATATAAATAATAGTACATCCACAGTGTGGTACTATGCAACCAATAGAAGTAATAAATATATACTAACATAAAAAGACATTGATATATCGTTTCAGTAACATTGACATTATAAAATATAGAATAATATGGCCCCATTATTGTAAATTTATTTATATGTAGAGATGCGTCCAATAAAGCCTAGGATATTCATCAAAATATTAACTATGATTATCTCTGGGTAGTGTGATTACAACTGACTTAATTTTTTATAATTATATATTTTTTAATTTTTTCTTTTACCATGAGCACTTTACTGTTAAAATCACCAAAGGAAATTAAAGTTTTTTTTTTTCCTTAAAGGACAAGTGCATGGTATTTCCTGAAAGAAGAAGTACTATTATTTAGCTTCAAATCTTAGGTCCTAAAGCTTTCATAGCAAATGACACAAATACTAATATACACAGATACAGTACTATAGAGTTCAAAAGAAAACAAAAAAATTTCAAATGACTCTTAATTAGCTAAGACGGAGAGATTAACACAGACCTTTCTCAGTTTAGGTAAACCTGAAGCAGATCATGCTTAAAAGTTATACCACAGCCATCTTCAGCTTAATCTCTGAATGTGTCCCTTTGCAGATGTAGAGCAGATTCAGTTTGGTTCAGTGCAGTGAGTGAGTCAGGCATCAGCTAAAATCCATCTCCCTGTCTTCATTCCTGCTTCTAAAATAGCGCTACCCAAGGGAACTTTTTTTTTTTTAATCCGGTGGAACTTTTTGCAGCAATGTTGGAATAGACTCCATCTGCACTGTCCAATAAGATGGCCACTAGAAACACATAGCTACTGAGCACTTGCAACGTGGCTTGTGTAACAGAGGCACTGAGTTTTAAATTTTATTTAATTTAATTAAATGTAAATAGCTACATGTGCTTAGTGGCTACCTTATCGGGCAGCACACATAAAGAATATTTCCAACATTTCTAATACTACGGCACAGTTTAGGAGACTAAAATTATGAGCCCCAAATTAAGCTGAATAAATGGCTCCTCTATAATTCAGAGATGTCACATTTAAAACACCAGATGTTTGTGTGCTTTTTTAATGGTAACTTTGCCCCCCGGGGAACCCAGAAAGACATCACAGTTTTTGGTAATGTGAACGATGTTTCTAGTACCAAAATAATCTAACTAGATAATAACTTCTTAGTCATCAGTCTTAATAATCAATGGGTCATGTCCGATTTCATAGTTAGATGAATCCTGTTTCTCTGTCTAGTTTTCTATTATTAACAATTACATTGCACTTTAGGTCATTAAAGATCTCTCTTCAGAGCTAGTGACCTAGTGGGTTGGCAATGGCAGATAAATATTTCTTCCCTGGGCTTCTTTGCCAACTATAGCTAATTTTCAAATTAAATGCAACCCTTTCATCAGGAAAAAATATATATATATTCATATTTGTATATTATGTATTATATAAATTATATATTATGTGTAATATATAAATTGTTAGTAAACTTAAAAAACACTAAGCTTCATTAGTAGTCAGAGAAATACAAATTAAAATAAAGTATTATTTTTAACTATCAAAATGTAAATTTTTTCAAGTTTTATAATACCGGCTTTTGGCAAAAGTATGAGGAAGCTGTTACTCTCATATGCTATCAGTAAGAATATAAATGTATACAGCTGTTTAAAAGGTAATTCAGGGGCTTCCCTGGTGGCGCAGTGGTTAAGAATCCGCCTACCAATGCAGAGGACACGGTTCGAGCCCTGGTCTGGGAAGATCCCACATGCCGCAGAGCAGCTAAGCTCGTGCACCACAACTACTGAGCCTGCGCTCTAGAGCCCGTGAGCCACAACTACTGAGCCCGCGTGCCACAACTACTGAAGCCTGCATGCCTAGATCCTGTGCTCCGCAACAGGAGACACCACCGCAATGAGAAGCCAGCACACCGCAGCACACCGCAACGAAGAGTAGCCGCTCGCCGCAACTAGAGAAAGCCCCAGCAACAAAGACTCAACTGAGCCAAAAATTAATTAATTAATTTTTAAAAAGGTAATTTAGAGGGCTTCCCTGGTGGCGCAGTGGTTGAGAGTCCACCTGCCGATGCAGGGGACGCGGGTTCGTGCCCTGGTCTGGGAGGGTCCCACATGCCGTGGAGCGGCTGGGCCTGTGAGCCATGGCCGTTGGGCCTGCGCGTCCGGAGCCTGTGCTCCACGATGGGAGAGGCCACAACAGGGAGAGGCCCACATACCGCAAAAAAAAAAAAAAAAAAAAAAAAAAAGGTGATTTAGGGAATTCCCTGGTGGTCTAGTGGTTAGGACTTGGAGCTTTCACTGCCATGGCCCGCGTTCAATCCTTGGTCAGGGAACTAAGATCCCACAAGCCACGTGGCACGGCCAAAAAAGAAAAAGGTAGTTTAAATCTATCAGAATTAACATAGCATTTCTGCTTCTGGATGCTTGAAATATCCATTCATTCATTCATTCATTCTCAAAGACACACTGCACGTACTAGGATGTTCACATAGCACTGTTGGTAATAGTACAAAATCAGCAACAACTTAAGTGTTCAATAGAGGAATGGTTAAATAAACTATTACATCTTTATCATTAGCAATTCAGAGAATAAAGATCTCTAGGAACTAACAGAAAGATCCCTAAGTCATATTACAAAGCAAGTTACAGAACAATACATGTAGTGTGATCTCATTTATCTTGTTAAAAACCTTCATTTCAGGGCTGAGCTTCCCTGGTGGCGCAGTGGTTGAGAGTCCACCTGCCGATGCAGGGGACACAGGTTCGTGCCCCGGTCCGGGAGGATCCCACATGCCGTGGAGCGGCGAGGCCCGTGATCCATGGCCGCTGAGCCTGCGCGTCCGGAGCCTGTGCTCCGCAACGGGAGAGGCCACAGCAGTGAAAGGCCCGTGTACCGCAAAAAAAAAAAAAACACTTCATTTCATATGTACATTTAAATAGCTAAAACAGCGAGATCGACCCAAACCTTTCTTAGTTTAGGTAAATCTGAGAAGCAAATCATGCTTTGAGAAGTTATACCAAAGTCATCTTCAACTTGTTCTCTGAATTTATCCCTTGGGGGGCATAGAGCAGATTCAGTGCAGTTCAATGCAATGAGTGAGTCAGCCATCAACTGAAAGCCATTTCCCTTTCTGCTCATCCTGAGTCGAAAAAGGTCTAGGAGAATATACACCCAACTGTTGACAATGGTCATCACAAGGGAAAAGAGCAGGTTTGGGATGGAAAGGTAAAAGAGTTTCTAAGCTCTTTGTTTAACCAAGAACATAACTGTATTCTCATACTCAAATTTTAAAGAATTCTGAAACAAATCCCAGATCAGCTTTTCTCAAAATGCTAAAATACTACTTTTCTCACTATAATTAAGCATGTATCCTCCTTTCAGAATACAGCAACATGTTTAGGTGGGTTTTAAATAAAACGTGCTTATGATAAAAGAAGAAAAAATTGTATTTCCTGCGTTCAGGTGACCTAAAACTACTATTTTGGAAAAAGAATGGCCAGCAATCTGGGTTCCATACAAGAAAAGGACACAGGCATCCCAGCTTTCAGATATGACATTTTACCTTTTGTAGATACCCACTCATAGAAGAACCACTAGCCACGTAAATGATGAGAATCTTATCATAGATGAGACTCCAAAAAAAGTCCAGGTACATAGTGTGCACGAGGAAGGTAGTTCCAGGTTCCTTGGGATCCTAGACACACTATTCAAATCTTTTTGTTTTGTTTTGTTTGGCTGCGTTGAGTCTTTGTTGCTGCACATGGGCTTTCTCTAGTTGCAGCGAGTGGGACTACTCATTGCAGTGGCTTCTCGTTGCGGAGCACGGGCTCTACGCAAGCGGGCTTCAGTAGTTGCAGCACGCGGGCTCAGTAGTTGTGGCACATGGGCTTAGCTGCCCACACTATTTGAATCTTAAACTAGCAATCCAGAGAATTCTTCTATAAGGTATTTCTACCATTCTTGGTACACCGTCAGAAAGGTTTCTTCCCATACTCCCATGATACTATTTTTTTTAATATATTTATTTATTTATTTATTTGGCTGTGTTGGGTCTTTGTTGCTGTGCGCCGGCTTTCTCTAGTTGCGGCGAGCGGGGGCTACTCTTCATTGCGCTGCGCGGGCTTCTCATTGCGGTGGCTTCTTTTGTTGCGGAGCACGGGCTCTAGGCGTGCAGGCTTCAGTAGTTGTGGCGCGTGGACTCAGTAGCTGTGGCTCGCAGGCTCTAGAGAGCAGGCTCAGTAGTTGTGGCGCACGGGCTTAGTTGCTCTGCAGCATGTGGGATCTTCCTGGACCAGGACTCGAACCCATGTCCCCTGCATTGGCAGGCGGATTCTTAACCACTGCCCCACCAGGGAAACCCCGCCATGATACAATAAACTTTTGGTATTTGGGGAACACAGCACTGATAGACCAGGAGGGCAGGAGGATATGGGCTGTCAAGTCATTACCAACCTTTAAATCCTGCCCCCTCTTAGACAAGTTACTTGATTTTTTGTAAGAGTTCCCATATCCTCCTCTCTAAGACACAGAGTAATAGCTGCCTTTCTGGGTTGCTAAAAAGATGAGCAATAATGCATACAAAGCATCCCAAACAGTGACTTATCTACTCGAACAGTGATGGAAAGTGATAATCAATAGTCTGACAGATGTGAAAAGTTTTTATTTTCAGCATAGAACATTACTTGTGGATTCTATCAAGCAATCTCTGTAGTATACCCTCCTAGGAGAGTAAGTCTCTTTTAGAGGATACATACCCTCACGCAGCACGCCTGGGAAAGAGCCAATCTTTGGTTCTCACTTCCCTTCCCTTTTCTTTCTTGCTCTTCCCCCTCATGCACAGACGAGCCCCTTCCTTAAACCCTAACTCCTTTTGTAAGCAGTCTTTGAAACTGGCGACTTCAAGGGTGTTTTGTCCTCTTTATAAAATTGTTAGCATTTGCTGGGACTTCTCTGTTTCTTCATAGAGAGTTCTCCAGTTTTTTCCCAGATGGCTCTTTTTATTAATTGGTTTTTGTTAGGGGCAAGTCAGTTCGCTGGGGATAGGAAAATGTTGAAAAACACGGCAAATAAGACGCAAGCTAAATAAGCTGCAATTGCTATCCAAAACCTTGGATCTTTCAGCAGTGCCTTATCAAAGCAGCTGAACACGGTATAACCAATGGACATCCCAGCAAATCCACCTGCAATGTGAGCTGCAAAAGACACCTTGAGAAAAAAGGGCAAAAAATGGGAATAAGTGAAGAAAATGTTAATTGCATATTTCAGCTGTTTAAGAAACAAATACCATCCCAGTCAAAGAGTCTTAAAAGTCTGAACAGCAAGGTGGTGAGACAAAAGAGACAAAAAAACTCCATGTGCACAGAGAGGAGATATTCCAAATCATGCAAAGCTAAAAAAAATATCAGTTCACTGACTCTGAGTACACAAGACAGAGCCATCATTTTTCTTTATTCTTGGTCATCATTGCGTTTAGGATGGTTCTATATAAGGCCAACCAAGAGAGTAAGAGTTGAGGTGCCATGAGGGATCTCTATAGGAGCATAATCTGATCCCACATAAATGGCATGTCTAAATTAAAAAGTACACACAGATAGCCAAAGAGAAACTACCAAATTCAAAGACCAGTTTCAATAAAACTGGAAATCTTTGTCAGTTTTCTTTTTATTGTAAATTCATCTGGACCCAAATTATTGCTGCTTTCCAGTCTGCATTTTATTCTCTGTGAAGTCCCTTCACTCCTGTTTTTTGGAATAGCTACCAGTATAGCAGGTGCAGAGAACTAGAGCCAGTTGTCAGGGCTATGAGAGAGAGACATGAAAAGGACAATCTAAAAGGCTGATTTCCTCAGGAATTTTCTTAACTTCCAAGTGTAAAACTGACTGTCCTAAATCTCAGAATTGTTGCCCCTATTTGGTGACCCTTTTTAGCTACTGATATGATAGGTAACTTAAAAAATAATAAACTGAACTCACCGGGGACCCATTTGCAGGGACAAAGAACCTTCTGTAGAGAGCAAATCCCATGTCCGACACAACTAGAAGGGAAAACAGCCCAGTGAAGCCCCACGATCTCCAAAATAGTGCGCCAGTTATTTTTGGTTCCCCTCTAGCAATGGTAGCAACGTTTATTGAGACTCTGTGCTAGGTACTGTTCTAAGAGTTTTACATGTACTAACCTGCATCATTAATCCTCACAACAACCCCATGAAATAGGTACTATCATTATCCCATTTTATAGATGTATTGATCCAACAAGTATTTATTGATTATCTCCCATGTGCCAGGCACTACTCTAGATGGTGGAGATATTGCCGTGAACAGATCAGACTGCCTCATGGAACTGGAAGTCTAGTTGGGGAAAGCAAATGAATAAGTAAAACATACAGTATTGTCAAATGGTGCTTAGTGCTATGGAGAACACACAAAGAGAAGAAGGAGAATTGGGAATGCTGGGAGTAGGGTGTGATTTTTTTTTTTTTTTTTTTTTTTTTTTTTGGGTACGCGGGCCTCTCACTGTTGTGGCCTCTCCCGTTGCGGAGCACAGGCTCCAGATGCGCAGGCTCAGTGGCCATGGCTCATGGGCCTAGCCGCTCCATGGCATGTGGGATCTTCCCGGACCGGGGCACGAACCCGTGTCCCCTGCATCGGCAGGCGGATTCTCAACCACTGTGCCACCAGGGAAGCCCTAGGGTGTGATTTTTAACTGGAGAGTCAGGGAGGATCTCAAGGAGAATATGGCATTTGATAGAGATAAGGGAGCAAGCCATGCTGACCTTTGAAGTAAGAGTCCTCTAGGCAGAGGAAAGTGCAAAGTCCCTAAGGCAGGACCATCCACCTGGTGTGTTTGAGGAATACCAAAGCAGTTGATCTGGTCCCATAGGTGGTTTTCAAAGGATGGTTCCCTGCCCCACTGGGATCCCAGCATCACTGGGACTGGGATCCCAGCATCACTGGGAACTTACTAGAAATGAAAATTCTCAGGCCCACCCCAGACTTACTGAACCAGAAACTCTAAAGGTAGGGCTCGGCAGTCTGTGTTTTAACAAGACCTTCGGGTGATTCTGGACTAAAGTTAGGGATAAAGTAGTAGGTGATGAGATCAAACAGAAGCAGATGCAGATCATGTAGGGCCCTTATGGACCACTGTAAGGACTTTGACTTTTATGCTTTGAAACTTTTGAGCACAGGAGTGACATGTCTGGCTTATGTTTTTAAAAGATGATTCTGGCTGCTGTATAGGAAACATACTCTAAGGAAGCAAAGACAGGAGCAAGCAGACAAGCTACTTACTACTACTGCAGGAACCCAAGTGAGGAATGACGGTGGCGTTTTATACATAAAGAAACCAAAACACAGAGGTTAAGTACTTGCCCAAGGCCGCCCATCTCAGAGGGAGCAGTGGGATTTGGGAGGCTTCACTCTCACCCACCACACTACTCGCCTCTGATTGCCATCAGGAGAACAGAAGATGGGCCCAAAAAGGAAATGAGTCCACATTTTCTAATGGAACACTGAGAGCCAGAACTTAGACATTCCTCAAATAAGTCAGATCTCTGATGCTAAAAGAGCTTCCAGGTTTCTTGGCTTAGAAGAACTCTGCCCTACATGTGCACTTGGAAACATCTCCTGCAGCTGTCACATTCCACATCCATCCCCCAATTCCCTGTGCTCTACTTAGTGAATGTCCTAGGAGACAGAAAAACCTAGTCCTTGCCTTTGGGAAAACAGCATCAGGACCATGTGTTCTGGCTAGTTTCCCTTTCAATATAGTATTGACACTGAAGTCACTGGATAGAAATTGAGGTCGAGGAGAAGTACTCAATGTTAATTTAATTGTAAATGACTAATCACACAAAATGCTGGATAAATGTGGCTATATTGTTTTTTCGATCATTTGCAATTCCTAATCCAGGGTAAATAACAGAGATAGGGCTAGGAAAGTATAAGAAAACCACTGCTGGAAAACAGGGTTGACTTACTGGAAACAGTTACTTTGGTCTAGTCTTCCACAGTAGGAGACCTCCTTTCAAAAACTCTTTGTAACCCTTAGCATGTCAATTTCTCCATTCAATTTCTCTCTTGTTTTGGCCACTTCTGACTTACACCTGCCTGGCCCTTTCTGCTTCCCAGGGGAGTTTACTTCTAAGCTGCTGCAGTCTCTAAACTGAGACCTGTCTTCCCACCTGAAAAGAAGCCCTCATTCCAATAAACCAAATCACTGTCTTCAATAAAATTTGACACTCATTTTAAAGGGAGCTGCCTTTATACGGATTTTTTTGAAGGATGAAAATGTGAGATTTCCTGAACTTTTTCCGGGGAAGGTCAGATGCTTTGTTAGAAAACAGATCCAACAAATAATGCTTAATGAAGGAAGGTCCTAGGGCCAATTGTCCTTCACAATTAGGAATAATATTTACCATTAAAAAAAACCCAAAAAACTATACATTTTCCCAAGGAAGCATGTTTAAAATTAAAATGTACTTGTATTTCATTAATCCGGAGTTTGTTCTAACTTCTCTCATTTACAATAGTAGGTAAACCAAGCCAAAGAACTTTTAGAAATGGCCTGTGGGGAAGGTTGATGTTAGTGTGTCCTACCTATGTTTGTAGGATATAATAAAACACATCATTCAGTGATTGTATTACTTACCTCAAGAGTGACAAAATGTTTAAAGCAACTATACCCCAATTAAAAAAAGAAAAGAAAGAATGACAGAATGTTACATAAACTATATTTGGAGATAACCCTGTGCATGAGGAAAGAGCTTTTACTCCAACGTTAAAGGGTATTAGAGTATTAAAACCTTTTCCTCACTGAGGGTTTGAGGCTTATTTTACAAAAGTCATTCATAATTACCTGAAAGAAACAGATTGACTGATGACCCAGATAACTTGTGTAAGAATATTTTTCTGTCCAAGGACTTGTCCCTTGGTTCTGGTTGTGACTCAGACGGCTCTGCCTGCACAGCAACTCTCTTAACTCCCAGACATCCGTCCTCCTTTCTGTGCTGACTAGTTTCCCTCACTTTTTGGATTTCTTATGGAGAAAAACAGTATATACGGTATGGTATAAACTAGAAACAAGTCACTTCTTTTCTCTCGGGATGAAATATTGTTTTTACAGTTAAAGCGTTCATAAACTTAATTTAGTCTCTTTTTTGAACTCTTGATACCAATTTGCAGAATCATTTTTTCCTACTATGTGGACAGCCAAAAGCTTAGCCTGTATCAAGTGTCACTTCTGTCTTGGCCTTCAAGTCTGAGCCAACAGTCTGGCCCCAGGGTCAGCCTTCTCCCCGCACCCTCCATGCAGATACAGCTTCAGCAGGAGCAGATCCAGAAATACAAGTTACCAGCTCTGCCTTCACTCTTGTTTGCTTCTACTCTGTATGGCCTGCCACCCGTCCAAAATCCTGACTTTCAGACACGCCTAAAATTCCACCTCTTCTCCAGACTGAACATACCTCCTAAATTCTTTCAGCATGTAATTCTAGACTATCATTCCTGGAGATTTCCAAAGCCACATCAGTCATGCTCCTACTTCCCTGACCCCTCTCTTCCTTCACCTCTGCTCTCATTTTCAGTCCTCAGCCACCACTCCATGCTTATATCCTAGATCAGTTTTTTTTTTTAATCTGAAATTGAGGAAGAAAATGGATTGTATGAATGGTTTTCGAGCTCTGCCTTTCTGACAAAATCATACACAGAATCTAATGTATGAACAAGAAAAATCCAGTATATAAAACATAAATGACAGCAGAAAGTAACACAACATTTTAAATCAACTATACTCGAATAAAAAAAATTTTTTAATAAAAAATTTTAAAAATCCAGGGGCTTCCCTGGAGCCGCAGTGGTTAAGAATCTGCCTGCCAATGCAGGGGACAGGGGTTCAAGCCCTGGTCCGGGAAGATCACACACGCCGCAGAGCAACTAAGCCTATGCGCCACAACTACTGAAGCCCACGTGCCTAGAGCCCGTGCTCCACAACAAGAGAAGCCACCGCAATGAGAAGCCCGCGCACTGCAACAAAGAGTAGCCCTTGCCGCAACTAGAGGAAAGCCTGCGTGCGGCAACAAAGACCCAACGCAGCTAAAGATAAATAAATATTTTAAAAAATATATATATATATATTTTAATCCATAAACGACGGTATTGTGGTTGAAGTGGACGGAGTGCCTCGAGCCCTACTCTCTTGACTCCCCACAGTCCAGAAGGAAACAGAGGCACCTCTAAGAGCCACCAACCAGGGTCTGTGAAAACTCCATTCACACCTGTCTGCTTAGGGCTCTGAAGCCGAACCATTCTTTCTGACTCTAGGCTGATGGTCATCCTACTTGTTAGTGTTTGGGAAGTGTGAGATGGTCTTCTGACGGTTGAACCCATAAAGTTGAAGGTGTGAAGTGTTCACAGAACACACTTACTTATAAGGACGGTGATGAGTAGTAGTCTGATAATTCCAAAGGCAGGAATCATGCCTCGAAAATTCTTGCAAAGAGATGAATAATAATATAAGCTATCTATTGGCAAATGAAACTTCAACTGTCCTCCCCCTTCATCTGCTTTATCATTTAAAATAAAGTGTGAGTGTCAAATGTTTGCAAAACAGAGCATCCGTGTAACAGCCCAGTTTTCAAATGTAATTTGGGAAGCAAAATGCTGGTGCACTTTGGAGTGAAAATGAAACAGGATATTAAATTCCTTGACATAAAGTAGACACAATTTTATTAGCAGGAAATAATCTAAATATAAGTAACAAAAAATCAACACTTAATAAGTCATAGATAGTTAATGCATGTTGTCAAACTAAATCTGATGGAATATTTCCAAGTTTTTTGGTTAATATTCATTTGATACATCTTTACCCTCTTTCTAAGTAGGAGTTAGCAAAGACAACTAAAATTTGAGTATTACCTTTATTTTTCTAGATAATTTCAAAAAATGTTAAATGTCGGTCGGTCCAAAAACAACCCAGTTGGATTTTAGCTTTGAAAAATCTCACACCAGCTTGCAGTACCCTCGTGTGTTACTAGAGGACAGAGCAGACTCAGAAAGATACTCCCACTTCAGCCCGAGTTACCTCTCCCTTCCCTTTCAAGTTAACTCTCTTCCCAGAGAGTAGAGATGCTGAAATAGCTGTGTTTATTCTAAATCAATTATTTTCAAATTGTTGTGACCATGACCTACAGTAACAAATAATTTACATAACACACATAAATCAAATAGTACTTATCCCTATTACACGTGATGTGTACTGAAATTTTTGTTTGTAAAGGGATTTTCACAATCCCTTCAGCTGTGTTCACAACCACTGATGGGTTGCAATCCAAAGTTTGAAAAACATTTTTCTAAATGACTTCTATTTTTTGAACAGTTTTTTAATTGATTCATATTTCTTCCTCCTAGAGTATCTTTAAAGCACACCTATGTGGTCAAAGGGTTAATTTAGTCAGGATTTTAGCCTGTTTTAAAAAGTGGTTGGCATCTCACATACTATATCAGGGGCGTGTAAAATGGTATGCAACTTTGGAGGCATTTATCAATGAAAATGTAAAGCCTTCACCCAGTAAATCCACTTCTAGGAATTTACCTGCAAAAAGAATCACACAAATGCAAAAAGATAGGTGTGAAAGACCATGCCTTACAGCATTATTTTGAAATGTGAAAAGCTGTAATCACCCGAGATTTCTTTTCAATTAAGGATTAAATGTCGGGATACAGCTATATAGAGCGTGATGTGGAGTGCCTGAAAAGACTGAGCTGGATTTCTGTGTACTGCCATGAGTAGATAGGATACTTTATGTTAAGATGCAGAACAATATAAGGGTAGGTCCATTTTTGTAGCATTACTATTGGTAGAATTTTGAATACACATAGAAAATGTCTGAAAGAATGTATATCAAACTGTTAACAGATACTAAACTGGGAACTTTGACTTCCTATCTTTCAATTTTGAATTTTATTTAATATTCATTATTTTTGAGATCGGGAGAAAAAAATAAAGATAAAATATGAAAGGAAAACTCTTGTGGCCAAATGGAAGATGTGTTCTTAGTAAATATTGATAAATGAAGATGCCCTGAACCAAATACCAGTAATTGTTTAAAAAAAAAAAAAAATTTAAGGTCCATAGATTCCACTCCCAAAGTTCTTACCACTAGAACATTCATGAAATAGCCTCCCATCAGAGCATAGACTCCTCCTGAAGCACCCACAAGAGATTTGAGTGGGTCAAAGATGGAGCTGGCTAGAGATCCTAAAGAAATAAAACACAAAGAATCAGATATGACTATAAAAATCATGAAGGATAAATCTTTCTAATCTAAGGTAAAAGTTGGGGAAGCTTGGACAATTATATTAACAAACAACAAATTCACTTTGTCCCTTCCATACTAGAAAAGTATAGCTAGGTGGGCTAACTCCCTCAATTTTTATGAAACATTAAATGTTCAATGTGAAGACAGTATAACGGTGATAAAAACACAGGCTCTGGAGCCAGAATAACCAACTGTGACTTGAGCAAGTTTCTTAACGTCTCTGTGCCTTAGTTTCCCTGTTTACAAAATGGGGGTATTAATAGAACTTACCTCAATGGGTTGTCAGGAGAAGTAAATGAGTTTATATGTGCATCATGCTTAGAACACTCTGTGACATGTATTTTATACTTGTTAGCCATTGTTTCAAAATATCCTACATGTTCAGCCAAAACTATCAAAATACCTGAGACATTCCAACATTTTATTATCTAAAGGCTAGCTTTCTCATGGAGTCAAGATGTGGTCTCAGAATCCTTCTTAACATACTATTCAGTCACATTCACCAGGCAAGATGAAACCTATTGCTAACCCAATCTTATATTGCCTGAACCAAAACAAGACTTTAGAACCACCTTATGAAACTCTGAGGTGTTCTCTCTGTACTGCTTAGTTCTATTCCTCATTCTCTTGCCTTCAAGGCCCTCCTTCATTCCTTAGGATACAACACAATACAATACCTACTTTATGCAAAAAAGACTAAGTGTCTGACCTTAGGAATCTTACAAATGGATGAGCAAACGGTTATCATAAAATGCAGAATATAACAACTACTATGATTTTTTTAATGTAATAAATTTGCTATGGGAGCATTTAGGGAAGAACGACTTTCTCAGCAGAGAGGCAGAAGCCCTGCTACTCTGAGAGGAGGGAGACAGCATTTTGATTAAACTCTGAAGACCCTTTAAGATTGGACAGGGAAAACAAGGGGGAAGAAGGTCAGGACTTGGGGATCTGGAATAGCAAAGACATAGAAACAAAGTTATATGGATGACTGAAGATCAGTGAGAAGTCGTCCATTAGGATTAAAGCAATGGTTTTCAAATGTTAACCTACAAACTAGGGCTGGGGTGGTTGTGTCTTAATCATGAAAAATTTATTTTTAAAATACAGATGTCCACTTCTGGCCACAGTGAAGTGCCAAGGATAAAATTTTTCCTCCTGCTTGAAACAGCTGAAAGTAGTGGACAAAATACACGAAACAATGGTCTTCAAGATACTGGACATCAGATAACAAAGGACAGTGAATCCTGGGAAACAAGAAATAAATAAGATGAGTTGACTAATTGCCCAGCTTACTGCCTTGAGAGAGACTGTAGGCTACAGTGCATGAAGGGGGAACCTAGGCAGATCACAGTAAACTTTAAGTTGATGAGATAGAGTCTAGAGTCTAGAGTCTAGGTCCATATAGATCCAGGCAGCTAGAGTTCAGACTGCTTCCAAGTAACTTAACTGAGTTACAGAACAAATCTAAGGAATGTTTATAGGCATATAATAATATCCACCATCCAAAGATAAAATGTCTAGCATCCAGAAAAAAATTGTCAGACATGCAAAGAAACAGGAAAGTATGACCCATAATGAAGAGAAAAAAATCAATTAAAACCTAACAAAACTGGGAATTCCCTAGAGGTCCAGTGGTTAGAACTCCAAGCTGTCACTGCTGAGGGCCTGGGTTCAATCCCTGGTTGGGGAACTAAGACCCCACAAGCCATGTGGCACAGCCAGAAAACAAAAAACAAAAACAAACAGACAAAAAAACCTACCAAAACTGAAAGAAGAGTTACCATAGATGATCCAGCAATCCCATTCCTAGGCAAATATCTGGAGAAAACTATAACTTGAAAACATACATGCACTGCAATGTTCACTGCAGCACTAGTTACAATAGCCAAGACATGGAAGCAACCTAAATGTTCATCAACAGATGAACGGATAAAGAAGATGAGGTTAAAAAAAAAAAAAAAAAAAAAGAAGTGGTATACATACACAGTGGAATAGCACTCAGCCATAAAAAAAGAATGAAAACAATGCCATTTGCAGCAACATGGACGGACATAGAGATTATCATACTACATGAAGTAAGCTAGACAGAAAGACAAATATAATATGATATCACCTATATGTGGAATCTTTTTTTTTTTAACATCTTTATTGGAGTATAATTGCTTTACAATGGTGTGTTAGTTTCTCCTTTATATGGAATCTTTAAAAAATGATACAAATGAACTTATTTTCAATAGAGAAATAGACGCACAGGCATAGAAAACAAATTTATGGTTATTAAAAGGGAGGGGGAGGGATAAATTAGGAGTTTGAGATTAACATACACACACTATTATATATAAAATAGATAACCAACAAGGACCTACTGTATAGCACAGGGAAATATACTCAATATCTAGTAGTAACCTATAAGGGAAAAGAATCTGGAAAATATATATATATATATATGTATATATCTGAATCACTTTGCTGTAAACCTGAAACTAACACAATATTGTAAATCAACTATACTTCAATTAAAAAAAAAAAAACCTACCAAAACTGACACAGGTGTAAGATTTAGCAAGTAAGGGCGATAAATAATTATTACAACTATATTCTCTATGTTCAAAAGTTAAATAGCACTATATAAGAAATGAAACAGGCTCAAATCAAACTTCTAAAGATGAAAACTACAATGTCTAAAATGAAAACATAAACTTGTTCAGTTGATTGGCTGATTAGACATTGCAGAAGAATAGATTAGTGAACATGAAGACATGGCAATAAAACTATCCAAAATAAAACACACAGAGAAGGATATTTTTTAAAATGCATACAGCATTAATGAGCTATAGGTCAATTTCAAGCAGTCTTCTGATATGTATAATAATAAATACATAATTGGAGTCCCCAGAAAAGAGGAATGAAAGCAGATACAGAAAAAAATACTTGAAGAAATTACGGCCAAAGTTTTTCCAAAGTTTTATGAAAACTATAAACCCACAGATCCACGAACCTCAACAAATCCCAAACACAAGAGATGTGAAGAAAAGCACACCAAGGCATAACAAAATCACATTCTCAAAACAGTTAAAATGCTTAAAAGCATCCAGAACAAAAAGACACGCTTCATACTGAGAAACAAAGGTAAGAATGACAACAGATTTCTCATTGGAAACAATGCAAATAAGAAAACAACATTTTAAAGTACTGAAAGAAAAATACTGTCAAGCTATAATTCCAAACCTAATAAAATATATTACAACAATGAAGGCAAAATAAAGACTTTTTTTTCAGACATACAGAGGCTGAAAGTATTAATGACTAACAGACCCATGCTAAAAGAAATGTTAAAGGAAATCCTCAGGAAGACAAAAAAAGATATCAGATGGAAATATGGAGCTACACAAAGGAATGAAGAGCATTAGAAATGGTAAGGATGTGGGCAAATATACAAGATTTTGTTATTATTTAAATCTCTTTAGAAGTTCATTGTTTAACAGTTAAACTATTAGACTAACTACTAGGAATAATAAGGGAACTTATCAAGGCTGGAGGATACAAGATCAATATACAAAAAATGAACTGCATTTCTATGTAATAGCAATGAAAAATCAGAAGTAGAAATTTTAAAAATAGTACCATTTACAGTATATCAAAAATATGAAATATAGAAATAAATCTGACCCCAAAAATGTGCAAGACCTAAACACTGAAAACAAAAAAGATGTTGAAAGGAATTTTGAAAGACCTAAATAAATAGAAATCTATACCTTGTTCATGGGTTGGAAGACTCCGATATTGTTAAAATGTCAATTCTCCCCAAGTTGATCTAAAGATTCATTGCAATCCAAATCAAAATCCCAGTAGACTTTTTTGTAGAAATTGACAAACTGATTCTAAAGTTCACATGGAAATGCAAAGGACCTAGAATAACCAAACCAACTTTGAAAAAGAGCAGAGTTGGAGCACTGACACATCCCAATTTCAAGACTTAATAGAAAACTACAGTAATCAAGACAGTATGGTATTGGTGTAAAGATATACAAATATATGAGGGAAACACAACAGAAAGTCCAGAAATAAACCCACATATATATGGACAATTGATTCTGACAAGATGCAAAGGCAATTCAGTAAAGAAAGGATTGTCTTCTCAGCCAATGATGCTGGAAAAGTTAGACATTTACATTCAAAAAAGTGACACTTCAATCCATACCTTGCACCATGTATAAAAATGGATCGTATACCTAGATGTAAAGCCTAAGATTATAAAACTTCTAGAACAAAACACAGAGAAAATCTTTGTGACCTTGGGCTAGGCAAAATTTCTTAAATATGACACTAAAAGCATAATTCCTAAAATTTAAAAACTGATAAATTATACTTAATCAAAATTCAAAAATTTGACTCTTCAGAAGATACTGTTAAGAGAATGAAAAGACAAGCAGCAAACTAGAAGGCAATATTTGTAAGTCACATGTGTGATAAAGAACTTTTAATAGGGACTTCCCTGGTGGCACAGTGGCTAAGAATCCACCTGACAATGCAGGGGACAAGGGTTCAGTCCCTGGTCCAGGAAGATCCCACATGCTGCAAAGCAACTAAGCCCGTGTGCCACAACTACTAAGCCTGTGCTCTAGAGCCCATGAGCCCACGTGCCACAACTACTGAAGCCCACGTACTCTAGGGCCTGCATGACACAACTACTGAGCCCGCATGCTGCAACTACTGAAGACCAAGTGCCTAGAGCCCATGCTCTGCAAGAAGAGAAGCTACCACAATGAGAAGCCCGTGCACTGCAATGAAGAGTATCCCCCTGCTCGCCGCAACTAGAGAAAGCCCACATGCAGCAATGAAGACCCAATGCAGCCAAAAATAAAAAAGAAATTGTAATAATAATATATAATATACAATAAGGAATGTAAAGGAATGCAATTCAATTTTTTTTATT